AAAGCTCTTTAACAATAAATGCCGAATGGATCTGTCGAAAACGGTGGCCAATGTGTTGACCCGATGCTTATCCATGGATTTAAATATGACAACGATAACACCGCATCTCCTGTTGTTTTGAAAAAGCACTGTAGTCGGATATACTGGGACCGGTTTATCGTTCCTATTGCTAGCAAGAAAAAGGCAGGACTCCGTAAGGTTCATGGAAGAGACCGGCTAGAAACCGATGCTGCCTGAGGGTTCATCGCACAATTTGTCCTCGTTTTCTGCCTGACCTGCGACCAGGTTTGAACATAATCAATTCTGGAATCAATGTCGTCCACTCCACCCTCAAATCATTCAAGTGTCTGTCACGCTCACAACCAATAACACACGTACGACGGATGGAAATTTGATTACAGCCCACTAATGCTGTTGAGATGGTATACCGGTTGGTTAGTATGGATTTCCCTGTGTGGCGACGGGCCAACTGTTATAGCCCAACTCATATGAAAGGTCTTCCGCTTAGGTTGGTCTGGTAACGGAGTCAAAAGATTCAACGAAATGTGCAGTCTTCACTCTACAAGCCAGTTAACAAGTGAGCCCGAGATGTTGATCCCATAATGGAAAGATGAGTGTCGCTATATCCTTAGGGTGCGAGTCGATCACACTACCGATCAGCCACGCGTGGCCGAATACTTAAGTATTCAAGCTACCAGTCGGGAGATCACGGGTTCAAAACTCACGGGAGTTTCGTCAAATGCGCACTGCTGATGATTTCCAATAATGGTGGAACAGCTGTGCAGTGCTTCTCGGCTTTTCCAACATGCACTGGCCCCACTTACACGACGAAATCTCCACTCAGTGATGGTGAACAGGAAAAAATCTTAATCAAATTCATCATTTGCAAAGGCCTAGTCCGTGATCGCATGCTCGTAAAGCCAAAGAGACCCATGACCGAATCCTCTACGACTTTGTGACAAGTCATAGTAAGGATGAATGACCTCGTGTGATCGTTTTTTGTGGATTTGCGATTATTTCTAATACTGTCCGGAAAAAAACCAAACTTTGGTTCACTGAAGAATGACAAGTAGCCAGAACAAATAATATTAACAGTCCAACTATCCGAATAAGTTTTTATCAAGTTTCAAACAATTTTCTGACCAGTACTTCGATCGTGGCAGGCATCTTCCAGTATGCGGTGTCTGAATTAGTGTAGGGTCTTGGTGAACACTGTTGGTCTCAGGTGCATTCCCGGGTGATCTGAAATGCATGTCCGCAAAAAGACGACATTCGCATAGGCTTATGAACACCCGAACTAATATTTCAAGTTAAAGGTCCACCCTTTTCCCCAGTACAGCTCTTTGTTTCGGAAAAAAAATATAAAAGTAAAGCAAACTCGATCGAGTGATCTGCATGAACTGCTCGATCACCGTGGTCATTGACAGCAGATCGTCAATGCTGAACACCGGTACTTCACTGTCATACAATCTTATTAACTGAAATGGAAGAAGCTTGTATACTATAAACATTCCAAGGCACTTACATCCATAAACACACCGCGGAATCCGGACTGAAGCCGACAGCAAGAACGTCGTTCAAACCGACGGGTACCCGTAGCAGAACACGCGAACCTCATCTTATAAGACAGATAGTACCGAAAATACCATAACTTCCTATAGACGTTCTTATACTCTCTTGGCTGAACAGTCTTGACTTAGGCACGAAAACAGCACTCTTTTAGAATGTGCGGTAAATGACCAAGCCATCGCAATTTCTGGTAGTTAATACGTCTTGCGGTTGAAGTCACTGCTGCACAGCCGAACACCATTATCTCGGTGCAATCTATTTGACACCAAACTATACGAGCTACCGTGCTGGAACAATGGCTCTAAAAAGCCCGAAGACGCCTCATTTTCGCTGCTCATAAAGGCAACAAAACAGCCCTTGCTGTATTTTGGTATACACACCGCCTCAGGTACTGCGATATGCTGCCACAGGTGTCTCAAATTAAAGGACGCGATCTGGGACTCGTTCATTGATATCATCTGTCACACTATAGCCAGAGCCAACACAACCTCCAAAAGCTGCAAAACGCTCCACAACCTCGAGCGCGTTTCCGTGGATTCCAAGTGGCAGTTCCAGTGGTTGGATTTCCCTAAGCACTGAGGGTTCAAGACACAAAGAAGTGTAGTCATTTCATACAAGAGCAATTGCCTTTTATCGTTGAGGACTCGAGCGACTTCGTCTATGCATTCCAAATCAACAAGACTTCCTTCAACGGCTATTTGAAAAACCTGAGAATTGCTTGGGGTAATCTGGGAATATTACCATACCCTTGACATAAATGATTCAAATGGAGTTGCCTCCTGAGTAACGTACCTAGTGATTTCCATCACATTATGGAAAACAGGTAAAAAGCACTGTGGTTCGTATAGATGAATTAGTATGACATGTAACCAGGCACCACCACAAAGTTCTTTTTGGGACCTGTTTGTGAAGGGTGTGATCTCCATAAATCCAATTCTTTCACAAGACTGCGGGTCATTAAATCGTCACGTACCGTGGTAATCGTCAGACCTGCCGAATGAAGACTTCGTGAACAAGCTGGGATTTATTCACCAATGCTTTATAAACGGGGCATTAGAATATGGGGAAAAGGAGGAAATTTACTCTCGGGACAAACGGCGAGCCGCCTGAACTACAGCCGACTACCTGACCTTGATGATGGGAGTCAGATAGAAAATTCAAGCGAACGTTACGTCGGTTCATGCTTCCTCCTTTGATTCATGTCGTTCAACCGTGAGCCTTTTGTTGAGCGGATGATAAGCTGACGATTCCAACGACCAACTTAACTTCACTTGAGTCCGGGTGGACAAACAGTATTGAGAACAGTAGGTATGGGAAGCACTGAATATCATTCAGAAGCCGATTTGTTTCAGTCGTTCCGGCTTGTTTCGCTCAACTTTTACATTCCTTGGCATCTCCCTACTGCCAGACGCAGTGGAACACCGACGGAACGATATTCACTGAGTACGTCGGGTCAGGGTGCACTTAGAGATTTGAGGCATCATCCGCATCTTTGTCCACGCGAACTACAGTGCTTACATTAGACTGGCCCATGAACACCATAGTTAAACCATACATTACTTCTACAAACCGGCTACTCTCCAACTCAATCGAATCATGAGAAATTGTGGATCCCTCCAAACGTTCTTAAGTTTCTTGAAATCACAATAGAGAGGGAGTATTGTAACCTATTTCATCTCCTCAGCAGAACACAAAAGTCTGCACTTTAGGTACATCCGTTCATTGACATCTCTGCTGAACAAAACCGATGATGTTTGACACGTACCACGCTTTGTTGAGATACGAGCTGCGAAAATAGCAATCATAGCGCACCACGCACAAGCTAATATGTATCAGGATTCACACATCATCCACTGCCTCCTTTTACGCTGACACTGCAAGTGAAATCAGCACCTAGGATTCTCTAAATCGTCATAGTCTGTGTTACCATCCGACTCAGACAATTCTGATCGATTTTCTTGTCGTGGATGTTTCTCTGTCTTCCCGCCCATGATGCTTAATTCACCCGGTAAGGTCATGGTCCGCACACGCACATGGAGCAAATACGTATCGTTGCCTCATCCTTTGTCCACAATCGAATGCTGACTACCTGTCCAGTTTTCCAGACACAATAGGTTAACCAGTCTGGGGCACCAGACCGGTCGATGGTTGCGGTGGTGTGTCAGGTCGCATTGCCCAAAAACGTTCCGACAAAGCCATGGTTATCTATTTTGAAGTTCAAAAGTCGGGCAACACCTGTTGTTGCTTTCCTGGAGAAAGATATGTCCCGACTAACGACAAAGAAGTTTGTGGTAATCAGGATTTCTCAGGTCGTTCTCACTACAGATGAGCTGTCCCTGTCGGAATATCCATCGTGCAGACAGGTTCGTCGAGAAAAATCAGCAAGTGTATGGTACGAGAACCCAGGAAGAATGGTATTTTGCTGAATGGATCGACCAATCAGTGAACTCCGCAACGAACGGTCCACGGGAGACAAAAGGAAAGGCCGTTTGATGTTGGAAGCCATGATTCGTAGAGGAAAGATTCAGTGAAATAGTTATTGAAAGTTTCTAATTACATAGCCCGCTCCTCAACCGCTTGAGAGTCCAACTACTAACCGCGCCCCACTGATGATTCACGATAGGGATCAGACAGCTGTAGGGTGCCCCTGGTCTTTTCAACATTTACTGGTTTCATTTGCAGGATGAAATCCAAATAGAAGCTTCAGGATAAAACAAACAGAATAGACGTGAGACTCCCAGTCAGCTGTGATTCATCTTCAAGTTCTTCACACATTAGACTGTTATCTTTTCTTGACGACGGCAGGCGCATCCACAGAGGCGTAACTCTTCAAGTTTCAAGTTCTTATAGTTTAGCTTCACCAACCCTCCAGCTCACGTAACTTATCACGTGAAAATCAGCCCCAGTATTTGAATCCAAGGCAAGCAAGAAACCACGTTATGTTAGCTTGTATCAATCAACTGTAGTTACATCTCTAGGCAACACATGTGGGACACGGGATCTGCCAGGTTGCCACAGCCTAGAAAGAAGCAATCGAAATGTTCGGAGCGGACTGGAACCATGGGCTGTACGGTCAAACACCCATGCATTAATCTATAGGTTTGTAGGCAAAATGGAAGTAGAATTCTACTGCATCTCCTGGATCCTCCGCTCAGTAACTCTGTTCTGTTCATCCTATCCACCAATGTGTTTCTTCAGAAATGAGGCCGCCTACTAGTTCCTAATTTTGAGTCACTATTTCATCCTCGTATGTGCGGCATTCATGTCTGCATCTGGCGCATAGGTACCTGACCCGAAGTAACCAACCAGGGTGCATAAGCGCTCCAACAGTTTCATTGAAAGTCCTGCAAAGCAGAATCAAAGTAGGTGTTCCTCGGAAAACGCCATCAAAGGGTTTTTATTTAAAATAAGTGGTGGATAAATAAACAAATATTTACCTAAAATGTGCGCAGGTAAACACAGAGGGGTAAGTAAAGCAAGTTCGCCTCGGTATGCAATAACAAATTTTGACTGATAGACCGCATCCGCAACCAGAGAAGAAAGTATTCGGTGGTACGCTGGGCCAGGAGTAAGGGGGGTATACACCTGAGTAGAGATGGGCATCACAACAGTATGGTATACAAGTTGTATTGTAAACTCTATACAGATTGGCGCTCTCATGTCACACACCTGATAAACAAAAAGGCGGATTAGCCACTACTTTCAGATACCGTAATAAGTAGTGTCGGCAGCAGTGAAGTGTATGACACAAAGCTAGTAGAAACTGGGGTATCATTTGGTCACACACAAAATTTAAGAAGAGCAAATACAGCCATCCTGCAGAAACACTGTCTCGATAAAAAATTCGCAGGTAACCTACAAAAGAGATAGGTTAAGACGAAAAAACCGCACAAGAAAAAGGGATATTATACGGATCTAATTAGTTTTCCTGAGTAGTGGGACCGCATCTTTCCGGAACAACATACCCTCTATAAAATTTTCCATCAAATTGTCAAGCACACTGGGCCACACCAAGAACACATTATTTGGCGTCAACTCCACTTAGTTTGACGAGCAGCGTTGTGTACGAAAACGCTTTTCAAAAGGTTTCACAAAATGATAATCGACTTTTGCGCAAAATAAGCAGGTAATCAGTTGACTGTACTGAGAGAAAAAAGGTAGTGGAAAAGAGGTGGGGTGATCATCAAGGTTATCAAAAGTAGCGGACATAGTTTCCGCGGTAGTTTGTGCGTTGAACGAAGGGTCCTGAGGAGTCCTGTCTTCGATCCGTTGGAGCGAAGAGGATGACGAGGCCTGAGTAGCAGTTGTGGTTAGCTTCTCTCCAATAGAACAGCTGCCCTGAGAGAGATTTTCCCTGACATCTAATCGGCTTTCACATGCATTACACGTCAACTGCTTTGAACAGCAAAGGAATGCTGCAAAAACATCGTAGGTGTACAATCCACCAACCAAAAGGTGGGAGCCTGAAAGTAAAGTACAAGTGGGTTATTTGACAGATGGAACAAATCTGTTGTAATTGAACTAAGGTATTTCTGGTAGCTATATCATGGTACGTAACTCGTGATATATGTTGTGGAGGTATATTATTCAGGTTGTTCACACTAGTCGGTTGATTCGATCAACCGCTCGAGCTTACTGGGCCATCATCTACGCATCAGTCAATTCTCACAATTTTATGATCACTGATATATGAATACCAACGTAACAATATCCTTCTCCCAGTAGTTGAAGGGTGCCAAATCGGTGTTCGTATTGCTGTCGTTTGACCAGTATTCGCCTTACCTTGCTGCGGCTGTTCTGGTCCGTCCATGACAAAGGGGGGGCGAACTCGAGTCTCATCCTTTACCAGTAATGCATGTCCTTGGCCAACACGGAATCTATGCTTTACACACAGACAAGCGTAATCAAACGTGTGTATAAAGTGACCATTCACTCACAATTTAGCCCGTTAATTCGGAAAACGAACGACCTATGAAAGTGCACCCCCATTGTAAGGGCATGATCATTCATGGAACAGCAATAGGCCGACCATGACTGAGGCTCATACGGTTGTTCTCCCCGAAAAACACTGAAATATCATGCCGTTCATATGACCCACTACCACAAACCATTGCACTGGCTAGTACCGGGGTTCGTGTTCCATCAAGCATGACCAAACGAGGAAACTCGATAGCTCAGTGGTTAAGGCGCGAAACTAATGAAAGTTGACAGCTAGTCAGTTTCGTTTTGGCCATGAAATCCCCCACAGAAACAGACAGACCCAACTTAATGTCCAGTTGTCCGTAAAAGGTTAGATTTCTGTGCGCAAACTAGAAAGTTGACAATCATCAGGCTAAGAACAATTACTTTATAAGATATGTGGCTCCCCATCATTTGTCAGTAATCTATACGGTTGACAGATTGTCCGTAGAACATGTGAAATCAAACTGCTTTTAGTAAGCCTGCTCAAAAGCTTTATGAATGAACTTGAGAATTTCCACTTTCTTAACATAAAGCGAGCATTCTGTATTAAAAGACCAATAAAGTCACATTCTTTCTAGTACATATGGCTGGCAGCAGGAATGGTACATCCAAAGAGAAAGTATACGTTCAAAATGTTCTGGACTTTTCTGGAACCATCGGGCGTCAAACTGACTGACCTGATAATAAGTGCCTCGAACCGATAGTAGTGTACATTGAACCTGAAAGCGTCCTACACGAAGAACAAACCAGTCAGTGAAAAAAGGCAGCACATTGAGTTCTGCCATGACTGAAGTTGCCAAAAGGTCATCATTAATACCGGATGGAAACCGTGCACAAATACAATGAAGCCGCGCAGCATTACCGATTTCAGCAGAACATTCAGACTAGGCCAGGTTGCGTTAATCCGAGATAACCTAGGACTAATAAGACATCCGTTTATCACGAACATTATCGAACGCAGCTAACATGTGCGGCAACGCAGTCAACATTCACCCTAATTCATTGAAAGCGCATGCCCGTGAAACTGGATGGGGAAGGACAAAATACACGCAGCATGATAATGCGTTGTGACAACGGTACCCGAAATGTCCTGCATAAGAGACAACCATATATCAAATAGAGGAATTCATACAAACTCCGTCAAAAAGCCACAGTCACGAAGTGACTGGACCTAGCCGTGGTGAAACCGTTTGTGTGCCTCCGCGACTCACTGAACTTTACTGAGGGGTACCATGCGACACTCACAGAGCCTCTCATACCATGTTCGTCAATGGTTAGAAGTCTGACAAACACAGTCTCCTGCCCCCCCCCTGGGTCGAGGGTTGGAACATGTGGCGACTTGTTCCGTAGAAATGGTAATGCATCTGTGTTTCCCGCCAAACACCGCTGCCTTGCGGTTAGGCTTTTGAGCCAAAGGCTTTGGTACAATGAAGCCGCGCAGCATTACCGATTTCAGCAGAACATTCAGACTAGGCCAGGTTGCGTTAATCCGAGATAACCTAGGACTAATAAGACATCCGTTTATCACGAACATTATCGAACGCAGCTAACATGTGCGGCAACGCAGTCAACATTCACCCTAATTCATTGAAAGCGCATGCCCGTGAAACTGGATGGGGAAGGACAAAATACACGCAGCATGATAATGCGTTGTGACAACGGTACCCGAAATGTCCTGCATAAGAGACAACCATATATCAAATAGAGGAATTCATACAAACTCCGTCAAAAAGCCACAGTCACGAAGTGACTGGACCTAGCCGTGGTGAAACCGTTTGTGTGCCTCCGCGACTCACTGAACTTTACTGAGGGGTACCATGCGACACTCACAGAGCCTCTCATACCATGTTCGTCAATGGTTAGAAGTCTGACAAACACAGTCTCCTCCCCCCCCCCAGGTTGGAGGTCAGAACATGTGTGGCGAACTGTTCTGTAAAAACTGAAGTGCGCTTGCATTTCCCGCCGAACACCACTGCCTTGCGGTTAGGCTTTTGAGCCAAAGGCTTTGGTTACGGACCTTAATCGTCCTCTTATGTAGGTGTGGACGCCCTGGCATTATCCCGGCCCACATACAACCATGGATTGCACACATACGAATAAACTCATGCCACATCGGCCATCGCGCGGTGCTATCAGCCAGTTTATCCCACCTGCTACATACATTAGGACCTGTAAGCGAAAATAGGCTACTACAGACGCCTGTCTTCTATCCCTTCCCCCTCTCCCCACCCCATTAATAACTCTCTCCTTGTTGGCCCAGCACATGGGACTGATGACTCCGTTCAACTTGCATCGGTCTTGTGTGCAACATCTGTCCGTTACATGGCGCCGACATCCTCAGGTATCTCGAAACCAATCTTCAAACCTCGACCCCCAATCTACTAGGCCGCCTTCAATGTCCGCACTCTGAAGCAAGCAAGATAGCAAGCTGCTCTTGCTCTCACACTGGACTCGCTTGGCATTAATGTGTGGTGTGTATCGGAAACAAAAATTCAGGATGCAAGCACATTAGTTGAGCTAACTACCACATCACTCTCCACCCGCTTTTGGCTACGCACCTCTAGTGATCCGCAGGCTGCTGCGGCGGGATGTGCATGGGTTGGTATTGTGCTAAGTCATCTGGCGGAAGTATCCTTGTTTGACTGGATATCTATTGATAGTTGCCTGTGTGCGGTTCGTTTGGCAACGTCTGTGAAGGAGTCTCACAAGCGGCAAGTTGATAAATGTCTGTTTATCGTGTCTGCGTACGCCTCGATTGACTGTTGCTCCGACGCCGTCAGGTTTATGACTCCCTGAATGTTCTGTTGCAGCGAGCTAAGATCTCAGATATCGTGGTGGGTGCCGGAGATATGAATGCACAAGTGAACAGGCTTAGCGTATCTGAGACTTAATTAGGAGGTCGGCATGGATTGGACTCAGCACGTACGGACAATGGTGAGCGATTGCTTCAGTTGTGTGCTCACCACAGGCTGTTTTTATGCAGCTCTAACTTCCGAAACAGCCTAATTCGTCTGGCCACGTGGTATCCTCCAAGAGGAGGAGGACCACATTGCCATCAGTTACCGATGGCGTGGATCGAAGGCTGACCCCCAGCCATTTTGAGACACATTTATGGATTCCGACCACGCACTTGTCCGGAGTCTCTTCTCCCTTCTTTTTCCAGGGCCGCGTAAGATGCGGTCAAACCGCATGGCAATTCAGAGACTGGCAGATCCGGATGTCAGATGAATTTACCAGAATCGTCTTCTGAAGTCGCTTCCAGCTGCTCCATAAGACGTGAATTCATATTGGGACGGCATCGCTACCTCTTTGCACAGTGCTGGGATTTTTGCCTATGGCACGGCACTACCAGGCCCACACAAACGCTGGGTATCAGGCTGAACAGTGACACTTCTTAAGTCCCAGGTAAATAACCCCGCCGATCCCGAACTTGATGCGACGTCACGTGAATGTGAGCGTGCGCACCGGCCGTTGAGTCTGGTGGACTCAAAAGGTCAAGGATTTAGAAGAGGTTCAGAAAACCTGGAATTCCTGAAGACCACTACAACTGACCTGTGCGACAGGCCCTCCGAAACCGCATGGGAGCAAAACCATCAAGGATTAGAATGGGAAGATTATGTCTAATACAGAAGAGCGCCTCGACCGGTGGGTCGAATAATGCAAACAACAATTATCGTGGCCACTCATCTGGAGCCCACAAGTGACGCAGAAACTTGGACAGTGAACTTGGAACCCCCTACGGCCTCGGTGGTTTGTGACTGCATATGTTCTCCCAAGCGTCACCGAGCTCTCGGTCCGGATGACCCTTATTGTTCGAAAATGAGGGTGAATTTCTCATTCAGAGCTTGTCTGATCTTTTTGCTTGCATTTGGGAAAAGGAGTCTGTCCCAGACAACTAGGGAGAGTCGGTTACAGTGCCCATTTTAAAAAAAGGGCTCGTAGTGAGTGTAGTAACCACAAGGAGATAAGCATGACCCTGGCCGTAACGAAACTGTTGGCGTCACTTGTGCTTCTCGCCTTCTGGTGATTCATAAAACATTGACTCAGAAAGCGGAATCCCGGCCTGGTAGGATTCAAGTTGGCCAAATCGATACACTGCGTCAACTACTAGAACCACGCCATACGTATAAGCGATCCACAATTTTAGTTTCTCATTCAGAGCTTGTCTGATCTTTTTGCTTGCATCTGGGAAGAGAAGTCTGTCCCAGACAACTAGGGAGAGTCGGTGATAGTGCCCATTTTCAAAAAAAGGGCTCGTAGTGAGTGTAGTAACCACAGGGAGATAAGCATGACCCTGGCCGTAACGAAACTGTTGGCGTCACTTGTGCTTCTCGCCTTCTGGTGATTCATAAAACATTGACTCAGAAAGCGGAATCCCGGCCTGGTAGGATTCAAGTTGGCCAAATCGATACACTGCGTCAACTACTAGAACCACGCCATACGTATAAGCGATCCACAATTTTAGTATTCCTGGATTTCCCAGGCGCATTTGACTCAGTTGATAGGTCTGTTTTCCATAACACGCTCGTCCGTCAAGAAACACAATAAGTTCTTCGTATTTTCAGACTTCTGTGCGTGTGAGAGTATACGCAGTGCTCACCAAAAGCTTCCGTACACACAGAGGCGTCCGTCAGGGGTGTGCACTCTCTCAAATGCTATTTAATTTCGTCATCGGTGAGATAGTGAGACGAACGATGAAAGGTCTTCAAACCCCAGTGTTGAAATAACCTCTGACGGAGAACTTGTCGATCTAGAATATAGAGACGACATCGTTCTCGTCTTTGAAAAGGAGGAGGAGCAGGCGTTTTTATATGGTATGGAACGTACTTTTCTCCCACAAAGTGTAAATTCATTCCTTTGGACAAGCAGTCGTTGAACACACCACTTATAATCTACTTACTGATATCATGCAGTTGATGATAACGATGATGATCAAGTAGCCAACGAAACGGCTTTTGCATGCGCACACATCGATGGGTCGAACATTGGGTGAAAGTTAAATGACACCCATTTTCAAGGTTGTCTTTCGTCGAATGCAATTTTACTGTTTCTCAGGAGTTCTTACCTACAACCCTGATACATTATTCCCTGTAGGTCTTTCTAAGATCACATACAGTTGAAGCAACGAACCCCTGAAGGTAGCAATCCACTTCGTGTCTGTACTCTTGAATGAGGTAAAATTGTTAGGAACCCTTAAAGCCTTTGTACAGTAACCTCTGCCACAAATGCTTCGAAAGAACAGACAGCCTCTCTTATGCAACAACCAAGTATTTTCCCACGAGATGATGTGGTGCTGGTAGACTTAATCTACTATGACAGGTGAAAAACTGAAATGCTAACACTCTATAGAATCAAAAGTACGAATATTCTATAAGACGGTCTCAATAGGCAAGCTAGGTCAAGCGAGATAAATGCGAATACCTAAATGTGGGCATAAAAACTTCCCGAGTCACTCGAACACGGGATTGGAGTATGAGTGGAACAAATCGCTTTCAGATTCAATAGCCACAATACAGTGCAGTAGAAAAACCTACCCGACCATGGGCGATTGCAGTTACGACAATGAGCTCTTGTCCCGCCGGCTTCCTGTTCCGTGATAGAATTGTGCATACAACCCATGCAAACCGCATGCAGATATCGTTCCTGCCGAGGTGGGTGTGCGTGGTTGCGGTAGCTGGAAGCGCCAGTTGCTGCTTGATCGGACAAATGGCTAACACTCAGCTGTTGACGGGGGCCTAGACAACCAGGAGGGGGTATTACCGACTTTGAAGAACTCAAAAGTTTTTGTGCTTGCTCGTTTTTAATTAACTGTTCTGGGTCGCAGTTGGCTCCAACAACGGTGTTCTGATAAAAGGTGGGGGCGATCCCGTTAGTATGCCAGCTTACTCGGAGTCCACTAGCTCTTCCAGCTCGGTGACATATTGGGCTGATGAAAAACAGGCCATCTATCACAGGAAAATGGTCGTAGATTACCAAAGCCTGGTGACAAATAATGCAGCACACTTCCGACACACGATGGTTCGTTAGTTGAGCAAGCAAAAATGCCCTGGTATCCTCATTTCCCGTGCAACTGTCATCGTCCATGTGGATGAAATAGGGATTTCTTTTGTACGCCGGCAACTTCTGTGGAAGGGAAGTAACTCAGGATTTAACAATGACGCACATGTAACAAGGCTACGTAACCAAGAGGACAAACTTAGTTACCAACTCATCTGAGGATTAAAGTAACGAGCTGACTAAACCAACTTTATACAGGACACAGTAGTGCCAGCTAAGAACGGAATCCAGTTGATGCACCACAGGGGATAATTTGTCTCAATGTCTGCATAGCATTGCATCGGCATGGTGAAATTTTAAAACACTGGTCTTGTGGATCACTACGAACAGAAAAATTCCGTACAAAAACAATAAAGAACAGAATAAAAGCCACGAGGTAAATGGCTTTTAGTACACTGGACAAAATGTCAGCAGACAACCCCAACAGGCAACAAACTTGGAATGTAATCAACTCATGAGATGTCTGTCTAGAAGTCCGTTTCTTGATAAAAGACATTGAATGCAATTGATAATACACAACGTATGGAGGGAGTTGGAAGTGTTAATAAACGTGTTTTGAGTTGATGAACACAGTAAACATCTAATCGGTTGCAGAACGAATAACCTTACAAGCATATGCAACGACGTGGGTGGTACTCACTGAACCGATAGTGAATTACCCGAATGCTACGAAAGCCATACAAGCGATGATCATCAGGTGGATAGGCTAGGAAGCAGTCCAACGGGTGAATCTCTAGATTCAGCTCAAGGACAATTCACTGTCCATCGCTGTCAAAGGATGAACGAAGACACACATCACCCTGCAGATAGATTCGACTGACTAAACGGAAGCTGAGTGAGTCAAGAGTGGTTGCATCCGGCTTTGGGCGAAATCCCCCAAATATGCTTTCAGAGAGAAGTTGTGGTTGAGAAAAAAGGTGTCCAGAAGAGACAGGACAGATTGCTTCGTACATGATCGTATTCATAAGTATGTATAAATTAGAACGATACTTGGGTCTAGACGCCTACGATGGCCGCTGAACCCTTTTTTCTCACGTATGAGATATTCGAAAATAAAATGATGTGGTCCGAAACAGGTTATGTCCACAACGGTCTGGGATGAGCGGCAAAGTTTAAGCTGACGCCAAGGTTGGAGGAATGTGAGATGCATGGTTAAAAAAGGTTTTGATCCGTATGTAACCGGTTCGGTAGTCAAAACAAATTGTAAACTAGCAGTGGCTCTGTAATGACCATCAATAATCCTTGCTAGGGAAAACAATAACGAGTAATGTTAGTATATCCAACTTCCTACCAATCTGCATAAGGAGTGATGAACTAGATATATGGTGTTCTAATGTGTCACATTCATCCACGTCAAAATCAGGGCTGTTGCTCCCCAGTATGTCTAGTAAATATTATTAGAAAACTGATAGTAGTTATGAGTGATAGTTGTACGTTGCAATCGACCCATGCTAGTGCAGCGGATTCATAGGCGGTTCACCAAGTATGAAAACGAGAACAAGTTGACGTACTGAGACCTCTAACGACATCGACTCACTGTTAGACGATTCGTCCCGTTTTAAAGACATATTACACTCAGCCCGCTACACAACTGTGACGTGTCCCAGCAAACGCCGCTGTAGACACATCAAAGGCTCCACTGTCGACCAAGTCCGCGAGGGCATTAGTGAAGTGCACCAGAAGTGTCAGTGAACATTTTCAATATGGTGTTTAATGTGTCACATTCATCCACGTCAAAATCAGGGCTGTTGCTCCCCAGTATGTCTAGTAAATATTATTAGAAAACTGATAGTAGTTATGAGTGATAGTTGTACGTTGCAATCGACCCATGCTAGTGCAGCGGATTCATAGGCGGTTCACCAAGTATGAAAACGAGAACAAGTTGACGTACTGAGACCTCTAACGACATCGACTCACTGTTAGACGATTCGTCCCGTTTTAAAGACATATTACACTCAGCCCGCTACACAACTGTGACGTGTCCCAGCAAACGCCGCTGTAGACACATCAAAGGCTCCACTGTCGACCAAGTCCGCGAGGGCATTAGTGAAGTGCACCAGAAGTGTCAGTGAACATTTTCAACGTGACAGCCAACCATAAACCTGCTTTAAAAGAAATAGCCATTACTGTTGCGATGCTTTCCCCGGGCGAAATGGAGCCACCTCCGTGACAGTGGCCTCAACCCGTTGTGGAATGTGAACTCCTTCCTGAGGATTACTACAAGTCTTACCAGCATTGTGAACCAAGCCCTCTCTTTTTATTCTGGTGTTTTTCCATTAATCTAGAGACCTATTTATTGAATCCGGGGTCAGGCCTTTGAGGGCGGATAAAGGGAACAGTTAGGAATTTACGGTCTACATTAACTGAAACCCACGTAAACTTGAAAACTACTTCGTCGACGAGTCTCCAGCTGAAACACACCGATAGTGATCAAAAGCCGCCAGCCCCTCAGACTGGAATAAAATGAGTCCAACGGTTCTTACTTTCATTGCCTCGAAGTTATTGTTACTGCGTTAGGTTTTGTTTTTCTCGCCAAGTGGCCATGACGTTCTTTTCAGCTTTTCTAGTTCAGGTATTTTGGATAAGGAATGGGTTTGCATGTAACACTGCCTATTCGGTTGCTAGTTCTCGGGGTCGAATGCAGAATAACATCAAGCACGAGGTTCCGTGTGAGGAGGTAGAATAACCGTGTAGACCCTTTTGTGAGAAAAGGTATAGATGCTATGTTGAGCGACAACCGTACCGCATCTTATGGTATGCATAGGCGGTATTCCACACCGGGAAACAATACCCCCTAATTTAGCAGGGCTGCTCGACCCAAAGAAAATTTCATATCTCCACACCTACCTCAAAAACGTTGAAGCTCATCCTCGGCTGAAAAATATTTCCTTTCCGGTTGACGACTTTTCTTCTATCCGATGGGTCATTTGGAGCTTCGCGGTACTTCTCTGATGGCCAGAAGGAAAGGCCGCGGAGACCACCACCAGACACGGGATTGTGTTTCCGACCAACCGACAAACTTCCAGTGGTGCCGCTTGTTGGAAGGGATTCATTTACAATTTTTTCGATCTCGATGTGCTGCTTGTTTTGATGCCTCGGCGACGAAAATACGGGTTTAACTTCAGACGGGCCTTCTGGTGGGAAGTGTGAAACAATGAGGAGAAACATAACAAGAGATTTTACTCGACTCATTTCCACCATAGTTTAGTTTGTAAGAAGGCATACTATTTCGCTTGCTGTAGGACGTATCACGACAGTCTGTATAGGCCCAAAACATGAGCGGGAATCATTTTGGTCAACTCAGTGACAACACTAAAGCTCAGATACAAAAAGAGATTATCATGGTGGCAATCCAGTGATAGGATATTAAGATCTCCGATTAAATAAATAATGTTGTCGGGAGGGCGTGATTCGATGTCAAGAAGGAGAGCGGTTTGTTGGGGATAGCACAAATGCAGGACCCAAATCGAACGGTCACTGCACCTAGATTGTCTCAAACGTTCGCTGTACGTTTGATGCTGTGAATTCCACTGCGTATTCGATCGCATAGATTGGGACAGAAACGGATGCCAAGGGAGATTCGAATGCAATCCTCCGAACGGGAATTGGGAACTACTTTACGGCTGATGTCGGTTGCGGTCCTTAATCTATATAATACTGGTCACCTTATTTCCCGTAAGTTCAGCACTCGAGAAGCGAGTCATGTGACATGGCGTGTACGCTGTTGATAGATGACTGATACTAAGTAAGCAGACCATTGCCGATCTGATAAATGCAGCTCGAAAGAAGCACTCCATCAACTCTGGGAAGCAATTTCATCTTCTGAGCGCCCAATATTCGCATTGCTGATTTTCAGGTTCAACTAGTAGTTGTCTTATCATCAGGTAGCAAATGATGGAACATATCATGTCAGTGCAAGTCTCATTCTGTATGCCATTTGGAGAGAACAATGCACCGTTTACTTTGATTTGTGAAAGAAATGCAAAATCCTTAACAGAAACTAGCATGACTATATGAACGGAAATCAAGCTGATTTCTACACTGATAGAGGCAGAAAGTTCGGAGAGTGGAAGATATGTTCGAACTTTGTCTTTGGACGTAGAGTTTTACCCTCTTTTTAACGCAGCCGGATAAGAATTCACGTAATCAATGCATCATAATTCACCATCACGGTGAGTGGTGCAGATAGCCACCCGAATCCGGTAGGGTCAAAGCACGGACTGTTTGCAGTTATATTATGTTGTTGTGAAACTCACCGCTGCTTGGGAGACTATTAGAACAAATTGGCCCGAAGCAAAGAAAAAGCGCTATATGAGACCCTTACGTGACGAAGTGCAGACTAAAATCTATCGTATAGGGATTAGTACAAATCCCTCTATTCTTGGAACCCATCATTATCAAGAACTTCATCGACAAACCGGACTGACCAAACTTTACCATTCAAGTTGCATTGAAAAACAGAAAAATACGAAACTGAAAGTCGTTACTCACTTGTTTCATTTGATCCACAAACGGCAGACGTTGGGGACTCTGACTGTAATGGAGACAATGGCTCAAAAGTGAAATAGTTGTCCGTTTTCAGTCCGCTCACGGACATACTATGACCCGCTCCACGAACAGGTCGAGGACCAGCAGGTGGTGCGGACCAACAGCCATCATCGTGCCCCATGTCGACGGAAGTATCATAGTTACATGTATTATCGCTACTTCGACGACTCGAATCAATGGAATGCGCGACTGAGGATAGCCCGCTGTCCACCATGCCACTTACTGGTCCACTTATCTGAGATTCACAGAAGGAACTGGCGTGTGCTCCGTGGCTGATGGGCAAGTGTCGAATGGGAAAATGAGAAAGATACAGATGACAGGTCCTGATAGGAAAGTATAGCTTGATGGAACCATAGAAGTGCATTAGTTTTTCAGTTATATTCTTTCTGGCACTGAACCTTGTCTCCAACAAAAAAAAAACAACAGAATCATCGCAGAGTAGTACAATTGCACTGGTTGGTCCAAAAGAACATCTGTCCTCACAAGACGAGTGCTGTAATTACGGTCATTAACAATAAGACACGTGATTCCGCTTAAAGGCCATACTTGCATCTAATTTGCAAGGTCACGAGTGACCACGTGGCTCCGTCCCTACATAAATTAACCAGAACTGCTTGATACGATTTACTGTTCGGGTGGAAGATATCCAGGCAAGGATAGAGTTTCGAGCATTTGCAAGGTGACATTTCCACAACAAGACGATCAGTAGCAAAATGTGGTGCACGATGCGCAAATGTTTTGTCACCAAGATGCCATAATTCTTGAGATTGAAATACCAGCAAAAACTCATAATATCAGGAGCGCAATTGCTGACACTTCAATTGTCATGAGGTTCGCAGATGAGCCAGACCAAAAACCGTACAAAGAGACCCTATACAAATCCAGGCAAACCCACAGTAAAGACAATTGCCCAACAAAATCCAAAATTAAAACTCAGCGCAACCGTAATCTAGACTTGGCCGGTTCTAGTCATCCGAACCTTATTGGTTATTGCAAGCCATTCTCCCCGCCCTGACATCGAGGTTAATGAAGATCGGTTCTAACCACAGTGAAATTTGTGCCCATCAGTCACGAATCAACCGTGCTGTCCATTTTCAAACCCTGCCCCGATAGTCTGGGGATGGGTCGGTTGATTAGAAGCTTTTGGGAAGAGAAAGGGATGTCGAATCTAATGGGATATGTCGGAGTAGAACAGAATGACACTCACTACTAGTAGAATTGTGATTCACAAGCTTGCAAGGTAAATGTTTCTTTCTGACCTTTTACTTCCAGGCTGTGACTTAAGTGCAAGTTGGAACGCGCAACTTTGGATTCGCGATAACTCAACGGTTATAAACCTGTCCCAGTCGAATCATCAACCCGACCTGTACACCATTTTGATGAGGAAAGGCGAAATCATAGTGAAATCAATGAGGCCATACTTGTGGTGTGCGATCGTTAAAACTTTGAACCACATATTTCCTGTTGTGACCAGCTCCAGAAAACCTCCAGTTTCAACTCGGTTGGTTGGCAGACTCATTCCTGCATCGCACTTCCTAGGCCACATGTGAAAAACAATAGTCTGTTTATCGCGTCTAGATTCATTTATGTTGCATCGGCCGGGGCTGCTGTGTTCTGCAACGAAAGTCACAGTCCAAATCTGTCACACCTACAACGCCGGATTTGGCATTCGCTTCGAACAACCACTTAAAGTGAACTACAACAAATTCAAAGACAACAGTTGCTTCGGCTTTGTCATGCGCTCGAAATAACAAGTGAGTAATCGGTAAAAAGAATTGCGGACCCAAAATTCGAAAACTGGTTCGATGGGGAAGTTACATACTAACTCACTGACTTTCTGGCCGTTCTCTGGCTGCCGACTACACAAGCGTTGAATGTTTCCAGAGCTAGCCACTTCGTTCTTGTCTGGCATGCAGCTCGAAATTTAAAAACTTGGTATTGATTTATCGGCTCGCCAGCTGGTTACTACAAATACTCTGGCCACTTATAAAGTTTGAATTCTCAGTACGAGTATAACCGATTCCAGAATGTCTACTCAACGAAAGAGTTTACTCCTGCCTATAAGGACTGTATCGCATGCTTCCCTAGCTGTCAGTGGACTTTTACAAATGCACGGGTGTTTCGCAACAGCGTTTGTGAGGTCGAGGAACATTTGTTTCATTTCATCCGAGGCGATCGCTCTAGATATTAAGTATTCATTCATACTCGTAATTCACACAAACCGGTGCTACATGTTGAACCTGTTAGCGGTCATCAATTTCCAACATTTAGGTCATCAGGAATAAGAACCACTGACTACGATAAGTTATCACGCAGCCGTACTCTGATGCAGCCGCGAAAACAAAGCGTACGTTCTGGAACTCGAGAAATACTAAATTTCTTTTGTGAGGTTTGCGGAACGTTTAGTGTGCATACTCACATCACTCTCGTTTGAGTAGTCGACGTCCTGTCTCGGCATAATTATTCTGGTGAGTTGTGTGTTATCCTATCCTTCAGCTGGTCCACTGGCTAAAAAGCATGGGACACTTACATTGGGGTATCTCATTTTGGGGAGCGAATCGGTTTAGTCTGCAGTTCGCTGAAAGATTAGTCCAAGACTATTTCAACGTTTGTTGCCCGTTTTACTATGTTCATTTGAGAATTACCTGGAGATGTCACTGTACTTTCGGATATCCCAAACGAAGCATGAGACACTTAGCATTTCCTTACTATTCATGGGTCTTTCCAAGGAGATGGTTTGTTTCGATTCCACCTCCCTACCAAAAATGTAGACCCATGTCTGCCATTTAGTGAACGCGGGAGGCAACCCTCGAGAACTGAATAATTTGGAAAACGCCAGTGTGAAGCATATGAAGTGCGATCTGTTGTAGGCCGTACTTGAATAAGAATGAACTGATAATAAACGTCTTACTGTCGCAACCTTTCAGTGCATAGCTGCCGAGTTACTCAAAGGAGTAGCGAGGGCTGAGATACTTACTGTCAGGTTGCCGAAGCCTAGAAAATGAGCCATTGAAAAACCGAGGTTAGAAGCCCTGCACCCTAGTCGCCAAACTGTCCAGAGGTTGATTTTCTCAGTAAACGCTCTCCAAGCAGAGTCCAGAGAGAGATAAAACCAACCCGTTCAAAAGGACAAATTTGAGACACACGAGTTTTACCTGCACGGTTTATCTCCGAGACAAAATCCTGAGGAAACAAAGCAGGGGAAATTCTGGTGCCCTAAATTGCATCATTACCACCGAGGGGAAAAACTGCAACTGAACTGCCGCACACTATTCGCCCAGATTTACCAGTTGCCTGCCACATTCATTTGTCTGAAGTTATAAACACAGTCAATGCAATAGCACTCGAAATCACGCTGCTTCAGTTGACTAGTATCGGTGTTGCTTAGCTGATAATTAAAGCCTACTCACAACAGCGCTCGTTGAGAAGTTTTGCAGTTGACTTCATGAATGAGGGCACTCAAGCTAGAAGATAGGATGAAATAATACATGACAGCTCGACACCTATCCACTTCATGACAAGTACCAGTAAGGATGCAGTTTCCTTGAAAATTACCCTATCCTACGATTCTCATTTGCCTTTAACGAGATGGCACAATAATTAGTAGGTCGTTGATAGGAGTTGCGTTACACAAATGGGTCATTTCAGTCACAGACAGACAGTGTTTCGAGTCCATACCAAACGGCACAACGCATCACGCAGGCATCCGACACAAATGAAACATGCTTCACTTGTTTTCATAAAGGAAACTACTCATAAGGTAGCTGAAAACTCTTCGACGGCCCACGACCGGTTTCGCCCCTCTTGGGGCTCATCAGGTAGGCGCAGTCCCCGAGTCTTCCGTCAACCGTATGTTCTAATTGAACCCAAATCGGACTGTTTTCGAGACACACACTAAGTAGCAAATCAATTTGGTTTCACTTGTTCTTAGTCACCGCTTTCATAAGGGAATATCCCAGTCAAGAAAGTCCCTCGAGGAAGAGAGCATTGCACCATTATTGCTTATCTCAGGGATGCTTAGAAAGCCAAAAATTACACACATATCATGGGTTAACTGGCGTTTGGTAATCGAATTCTGACATTTCGCGATCATTGCGATACTGCTGTCCTCATTTCCATCTTTACTCTAGGTTTTTTGCCACGTGACTTTTGTCCTCGGCAGGCATGTAGAACCTTTCCCAATGAATGAATGAAGGTCATCACGTGACCTGACGTTTGAGGATAACATACAAGAACGAACAGGCGCAAGAGTAAAAAAACACCCTCCACAGTGGTGACTGCATAGAACAAGTGGGCGGTTGTAGACGCACAATCAAGGGAGTCCTATAGAATAGCCACCCCGACAGTGGAGTGCACCTGACACTGGAGAGCGGTGCTCAAGTCTGCACAGGCACAGTAGGGACAGGATTTTGAACTAAAATGTAGTGGTGGTCCTAAGGCCCCAAGAGAAACATGCAACCAGGTGTGATACGAAAATCTTAACAATATTAGACACGTTTGATGAGGATGTGGCAAGTCAGATCAGGACAAGGATTCGAATTTCTCTGCATCGCAGTGTAAAGTCCGCGCCTCAGGCACGAAGCGATCAGGTCGCCATTTCGACCTTGGTCGTAGTAATCCACACAGAAGCAGGACAAAAATTCAGGCCTCAGATAATCCATCCAAACGAAGGGTCACTGAGCGATAGACCAGATAAAATCAGTGAGAACTGTATTCAGGCAAAACAAACTAGCTGGCATGACATCGTCTAAGTGATGCAACGACATTTGTAAGAACGCTATATATAAACTTCTTAAAAACTGCATGCCGAGAAGGTTGGTATTATGGCGATATGAATGCAATATCGACGGGACACTGAGTGCATGAACTGCAGACGAGTGGAAAGACATTTTTCTTCCGGTGTAAACATACCAACAAAATAGTGAAAACTTCCGGCCCTCAGGTCATCAATATTATCTCACTGCCGTTTGAAATAGACTTTCCGGAATCTCCATATTTGTTAACAGAGGGTAACACTCTAATTTAGGCGTTTGTTCCTCTTCCTTCCCTGTGGAGAAAACTGGTTGGACGTTGATGTATAAGAACAAAAATACTTTAACCTTAGAACAGGCGGTCACGCAACATATTCAACCTCACTTGAAACCGAGTGACTTCTACGGTTGCGATGACCGTCGGGATCGTTTGTTCTTCTCGTCCATTCTCATTCATTCTAATCTCATGGAATGAGTCCGTAGGACCCAGGCTACGAAACCCAAACAGGCCAGGTGAGACAGAAATAAAACACACCCATTCACATACCAATAAAAATGCCAGTTATTCGCAGAGGTAGATGCTACCAGGCATGAGGGTAAAATCACTTGTATCATAACTACTTGCATACTTGCATTGCAGGCAGCTCGTCACCATGATAACGGCAACTCTATTGACAAGCTATTGCCAACTGTGGCGTTTTCCGGTCACACGTTGATCAAATAAGGTCATGTACGGATCCCAGCACCAACGTGACCGCGCTGTGAACACTGGAGAGGTCAAACACCAGCGTCCTTGAAAACACGGATGGCGTTCTGTGGGGGCTCTGTCACACACGTTTTTTAATGCGCCGTAAAATTCCCCAAGGTAGGTAGACCTGGTTTTTAGAGGAGCGACTGTATTCACTGTGTTTGCATGCACTATACTGAAGAGCTGACTGGCATCTCGTACGCACTTGTAAAATTATGATGCAACTGACAAGTTACTAACTGATTAAAAAGTTTTATTCAGGTGGCATAGCAGCTAGGCATCGAAAGAGTGCTAGTGTTAGTGTTTAATAGCTTGTTAAGTAGGGACGAGCGTTTGTATCATACACCACGTCGAAGGAAAACGAGGGTACCTTCGAAAGCTGAGTGTTACCACTAGCAGATGAATTCAACCACGCGTCAAAAAGATTCGTTAACTTTCACACTCAAATCACTCAGGCTTCGAGAGCCCTCCTCCCGTCCTGGTAGAATTGTTCTGGTGAGTCCATAACAAAGGAGAAAGCACTGGACTCCAAGTTTGCCCCTTGGTCGTGTCGGGATTTGAATCCCTGACATCTGACCTGAGAAGTGAGCGTATTACTGCTACCCCACTAGTGCACGCCCGATGCGACTGAATTATCACGTCTGAACACTTTACTTCGTCAAGTTAATATCAAGTCGTTATAACTCCGTCATCTTTCAAAGCGGCATGCCTAGTTTCTGAAAGGTATTTTATTCTAGGAGAGAACATCGCGTATCACCAAACAGCCAGGTGCGAAGACGTCAATTCGAATTCGCTGAAGCACCCACTACCTGATGAAATGTGAAGTTGGACTGATTCTGAATAATGAAAAGATAGCGTAATTATACTGGAAACTATCCTTCTAGGAATTCGGCAGTGCACCTCACTGATAGAATTTGTTCACAGAAATATCAACTAATAATTGGTGGTTTTCGATTCTACGAATCCAACGTACAAAAGCATCAAATCAGCGAAGAATGTAATTCTTTGGTGTACTATGCACACAGTGCTATCTTATGTAAAATGACATTGGTCAGAACTTCTTGTTTCTGCCCTGCCCACTACAGGATAACCATGTAACGCCTGAAAATGGAAAAATTCAGTTAGAATGTTTTTGGGACGACAGAAAGAGCGCGTCTATTAGGCTAGTCTACGCCCGTTAAATCAAACACATCGTTGTTTAAGGTGGTTTGGCCCTATTTAACCATCATATTTAGTGTTTTTGACCAGAAGGCGGTAGGAATGTGAATATTGCGGGCGACTGCCACAGACACTCGCTGAATACTTGCCTCATCATCGCAACCTTTTGGGAGTGCCGTGCAATCGTAGGTGGACATGTCTTCCACGCCTGTTGCCAACCGGCTTGTCTTTCTTCTAGCAGTGAAGCCTGCAACGATGCAGAATCAGCAGCGAAGTTGGGGAACCCAGGAACACCCGCATTGGTGACGCAACTGCCCTCAATGTTACCCAGTGTAAACGCTTGTGTGGATTGTGTGGGGAGTGCGTGACTGGATAAAGCGCGGGCTGCTGTAGGATTTGCGTTCAACTGCCGGTTCACATACTGAATGACATTCAACATACTGGCGTGCGGATCTTCATCTATAGGGAATGGACGCCCTAAACATAAAGAAACGGTAGGTGGTGAAAAGAAGTGTCAAGGTCTGATCCAATAACTGCTGCTAAAACTAACAAAGGTACAAGGTTCGAACATTGTCGATGTAAACAACAATATGTACGGGACCCAAGTACGCAAATGCCTTCCTTCTGCATGGCCGAGATAGCGCTGCCTCTCTCTGGGGGGACACCTGAGGAAGCTGACGGTATGTGCCACCTAGGGAAGTTTTAAAATGCAACAAGGGCAGTCTATCTTGTCGGAGTATTCCCTCCAGAGAGTGAAACGCAAGGTTCGAAATGCCTCTCCATATGTTTTGTCTTCAAACACAAAACGGTCAAAATGAATAAAACCGCCAAACACTTACCATCTTAGTAAAATGAGTACGTTTATGGGAAACAATGCCGATGGCCGGTCGTAAGTTAGCTATTTTGCACAACACAATACTAATGTACTTAGATGGATAGAAGTAAAGAGAGACAGGAGCGCAGGAAGCCTCAAAAATTCTTATGTAACGATGACCCATAACAGATTGGGTCGATAAACTGAAAGTGGCTAAATGCATAATAGAAGCGTAGCATGAAAAACGTTCATGTAACAGAACTAGGTTAGTCTGTGGTATGTATGCATTAGATAACAGCTACAACGTCAACAAGGCATGAAGAACTCAGTTTTAAATTCACATTACGCCCACATGGATGTGTATACTTAGCCTGGTGCGGCCAAGCATTGGGCCTGATATGAAAAGAAGAATCCAGGGTAAATGAGTGGTCTTAATTATCATTTAACTGGATGTTAACCAACACACAAATCGTAAAAAATCTGTTTAGCAAGGAGCTGCTTATTAGCGGTAGAACTTCAGCGCCAACCTAGCAACCTCTGATGCTTCTTCATTCCATAGAACAAGAAAATGACTTTGTATTGTTTGGAATCGAAGTCGATAAAAGATGCCGCAACATTAAACTGGTGTCAAATGCACGAGCTGCTAGGTGCCGCCTTGTTTGTTAAGAGACGAACAACAAATCCAATTAGTTAGGGTTGAGAAAAGAATAACGGATAGGTGACGTTATTTTGCGCAGGCTATTGGGTTGTCGGGAATGATGAACTAGTGATGATCAAGCTAGGTTTCACCCTGACCACTATCATATATATATATACCTTGAGACAGGTTCATGAACAGAACCACTCCTTCAAACATCCAAAGTGGGTCACTTTTCTCCACCTGAAAACTGCTTTTGATACTGTCTTTTGTCAGAGACTTTGGCAGTGTTTGGCGGTCGAACGGGTCCCTTCTAAGTTTAACTCCCTTAAGATGGCGCTGCATGCAGACCCCTTTGGGTACGTACAAGCATACGGCAAGCTTTAGCCTGGGTTCACCACTTTCAGTGGTGTAAGACAAGGCTGCCCTCTATTGCCTTTCCTCTTCAGATTTGTTATTGATGTGCTGCTTGAAAAGTCCCCATCTGTCTCTGGGATCCAGAAAATCGAGATGCTCCCAGGCCGTTCGTTCACCGAAACTAAATATGCGGACAACGTTGTTTTCCTTGGTTCAGATGTTTCAAATATACAGGCCACTTTAAATTACCTAAATAGTTCTGCCACACGGTTTGGTATGCGCTCCATATCTGCAAAGTGTAAAGTGCAGCTACAAGATTGGGTGGGATCAAACTCAAAACTCATGTTCGCAGACCAGCTAATCGACGTGCAACACAACTTTGTTTATCTGGGAAGTTGAATACGTACGAGTAAAAGGAGACTAGATCAATTCTCAAGTCGGGAAGACTAGGAAACCTTTTGCAAAACACTGACACATGTAGTGCCGGTGACGCCATTTTGTCTGCTATGGGCAGAGTATACACCTTGGCAGTGCGATCTATGCTGCTATATGGATCAGAAATGTGGACTCTACGCACAGATGTATGAAAGCTGTCAGCGTTTGATTACGGGTGTCTCCCACAATAGATAATTTGCCCACGCATCATGGGTTACGCTGGTTGAGATATGTACTTCGCATGCCAGAGGACCGTCTGTCTGGCAGAGCTCTTTTCGCCCAGCCCTGCGCTGAGTGGAAGCGACCTACAGGTGGACAACGTATGACTCAACAACGAAGTATGAAAACGCTAGCCAGTAAACTCAGTCTGGTCGATAACTGTCACCTCCCTGGATTGGAATCCAGGTATTCACCTCATCAATGGTCAGTGACATTGGCAGACATGGCTCAGTCAAACTGTCACAGGCGCTCGTGCATTGAACCTGTCACCTGCAGTGGGCTTCTGTCAAGTTTCCAGAACTCGCTGGTTATACCATCGGCCCCGATGTTTAGCTACACATCTCATGCTCTCCTACTTTCCGCTGACCGAAACTGTGTCAGCTGGAACCAACGTGCCCGGATTATAGCTGATAACCTGACTAACTGACTGAGTTAAGAGTACAAGTGGTGAAAACAGAGATCCCGATAACGACAGGTGCAGATAGACTTCTTTCGCTTTCACTGAGAAAGAACGCATCCTTTTGAATTCTTGTAACCACATCACAAAATCCAACAGCCCACCTTGTGTAAACCACGTTGCAAACTAAAAATATCGCGGACACGTCAGAACTTCCTTTCTGTTCCGGTCAACACAGCGGTATTTCATGATCTTGCCGTCGAATGTGCTTTCAACGTAATATTCAATCAGGCGTGAAGCAACTACACTGTTCCCACAGCAGCGGGAGGTTGTGGCCAGTCGTACATTCGGTTAATTGTGTTCACACTCAGCCAGCAACGACTGGAACTGAGTAGAACGATTCGACGCTTGATAAGCCATCAGTGTGCAGAGTTTCCCGTTGCACCGTCATTCAAACGCCGGTATAAGAGGTGAACTGCGTGTAGGATGTCCTCTAGGCTAGAAACTACGACTTGAAGAGGGCTAGACATATGTTATTTCGACTGTCTTCAATTCTCAGGAGACTGCTGTCCTGGCTTAATATCTTATGACAATGTGACACGCGGCAGAGTGAACTGATGTAGGTTCGGGGAGCTTCGAGGCACCGCACATCGGAATGTTCGAACGTAAGCAGGGCATCCGTAAAGACCGTACAATGTAGCTTGTAGGCGAAAATATCTGAATACCTTCGAAAACGCGCGCCTTCAGCGTTCCACCGCGCAAACACCAGTGAGTTGCCCAAGTTAGATTTGCTATTATTCCTGTGTCACCGTTTTATCGCTTGAATGGTGCGGCAACCGATATCCTCAAGAGAGCACTGTTGCGATAATTTTTTGGGATAATTGCTATAGTCTGTTGAAACTCAATCGAACTGATGAACCAGTCACGATGAACCACCACGAAAAGCCTCTGTTTGTCCGCCAATCTCACCCCTTCGGGCCTACGTTGGCACCCCCATGTACATCGCTTATGGTTTGCTCATTAAGCACAGATATTCAATAGGTCAATCACCGTTGATTAGCAGATTCATTGCGGATACCAGCTAAGTATACTATACATATATATATATATATGTATTAAAAAATGATTACTCAACATTAATTAGTTTGACCAGATAAGCTTTCACGGCAAACTGGCTCCAAACAGCGCCCAGTTACTGGATTATGATGCAGGAGAGTTATCATTGTCAACCATTCATACGAAGAGACAGGGATGTTTCTGCACGCTAAAGTAAGAGGTGGATTCTGTTTAGTCAGGTCGACGTGTGAAACTGGGAACCTGCTACAAATGTGGGAGCCCGAGATAGCTCAGATCTTGAGATAAATTAGTGGCTAAGACGCGAGGCTTCTGACCGGAAGGGCTGCGGTCTGTTTGGACTTGGGCACATGGCAGTACATCAACCCGTGTGCTTCCTTCGAGTTGTACGGCAGCTACGAACTGAAAGGGTGCCACATTTGATCGACAATTCCGTGTGGCTGCAACACATTGTCCGCCTTTGGTGAGTGTACGCCAGTCCTTCAAGTACATTCCTAATTATTTCAGGCTTTGTTTCTGATGTGATGCATCCACAAAAAATCATTCCAGTCCGTCTACCATTGATCGACTTGCGGCGGACGACATGATCTTGCAATTATGTGGCGTGGTGTAGTGCGTCCGTTATCCACAATTTTGCCTGAGTTTTGTGACATTAGGTGGTCACGTCAATCCATTCAAATGCAATTAATCCAATCACACATTACCTGAGCCAGAAGCATGCTCAAGTACTTTTACAGACATTCGCCATCGATCATTTAATCACTCTTGCGTGACCGGAATCAATAGCACAGGCTATCGCATGGCACATACAGCTGGCTAGGGTTAGATGCACGCAAGCCCGGAAATTCAAGGAGCAGGGAACAAGGCCAGTTTTATTTGAAAGTTTCAATTGAGTTTCAATTAGCACAACCAACAACCCACCGCTACGCACCATTACGTATCCCAACAGGGCACTGATGATGTCACCTCGACTGGTGATGAAACGTTTGCAATCAAATTGCCGAGCTCAGCAAGCAAACCAACGACCAGGTTTCTCCCTGTAAGTAAAGCAAATCTATGCTGAAAATCCGAGAAACACTGTACAGCCGAAAAATCTTTATTAGGAATCATCACGGAACTCCAGACGATCTCTGGTTGACAGTCTAAACAAGTAACCGTTTGACCACAAGCACCTGAGCCACATTGTAATTGACTCTCAAGACGACAAGATATAGCACCATTCATTCTTCACTCACGGAAACCACATCACGCTCACTTGTTGACTGACTCCTCGAACGACGGCTTCTTAGATGAAAGCTTCACTGGTCCTGTGAATTTATTCCTCCTCTGAGCTACTCATAGATTGAAGGAGTTTTGTGAGATGTCCATGGCAACTTATTCCCAATAAGCATGAAACAACTGTACAGAACCATTCCTTTAATCCCCAAAATTCCTTTTTCTTACGTGAACATCATACTTCACGAGATATATTTAGTTGAAATTCAGCTGAATTTCTTGTTGATGATATTTTTAAGCTCAATGTGAAAATGAATTTTCATTGCAATATACGTACAATTTTTAATTCGATTCGGGCATACGTTTGATTAAAATTCGGGGACGAGACTAGAAGTAGGGGCATAAAAAAGGCGGACGGAGGTAGTGTGATGCCTAGAGTTTTCATCGACCTTATGATTAGCAATGGAAGGTGCAAGGGTGTATTTTTATGCAAAATATTCAGGATGCAAGTCAACCATATTACCAGCTGATCTTTTATAGCTCAATAAGCCACGTAAAAAGGTTTTGAGTATATCACAGACAATCCTGATGAAATCACCCCGATTTTCTCAATTATTTGGGTTTTCACATCGGTCAGGCACCAGAATGTCGGATTAAAGGTGAAGGAACCGGTATATCGATTAATAACAGGCACAAGAGCAGATGGGAAATAGACTTCCTACAGTTATATAGTACTTGCATCAGGCAAAACCCCCTATGTACCAACGACCGTTCTGATACAATTGCACAGTTCTGCTTCTCTCTTACGCCAGCTTGATTTTGAACTGTTCAAACTGACAAGGAGCTGACGAAAACTAAAATATAAATTAGACCCGAACTAACTAAACATTTCACGGAAAATTTGTCTCCTCGCGTGTGCTTCCTTTCATTTTTTACTCGTCACAGTCCGTGGTCTAACCGAAAACGACTTTAATGTCCCTAAACGAGGTCTGAAGCACATTTTACTGAAAGGCTATAGCTTGGTTTCCACGTTCACGTGCTACCTTTTGAATATGTCCTTCTTCGCATTCCCGTAACCAGATTCAAGAAAACTAAATGACCTCTCCGATCTTCTTCAGTCGGACTTCTCATCATCAACATCTTGCAGTCAGCCCAGGAAGTAGTTCAAATATATACACGTTCCTGTGTAAAAATTCAGTTATCCCCTCTTTAGGACAATATAACACTAACCGTGAGAGTGACAAGACCCATTCCAAGAAGCCTTTCTTAATGACAGATCCACTGTGTGCTCCTCTTGGTAAGTTTATGATAATGACTACTCGACTAGACACCATCAATGGGCAATGATAATATCCCCATGAACGAAGGTTGGCGCATTTTTAGGAAGACATCATCTGTCCTCAATACTTTCTAAGGGGGCCCAACATAGATTTCGTATCACCAGCCCAGATGCACTCCGCATAGTAAAAAAAAGTCCGAAACACTGAAGAAAAAGGGATATCTTCTACAAAGGATTTCGTAAACTGTACATGTTTTATTTTACCTGAGTCGTACCGGTAGACTACTAGTTTGTGGTGAACCCAAGCGGCAATCGCGAGCACTACAACTGAACACAAACATGGCAAACTTACCTTCACTTGAGGTCCGGAACAGCGAACACTGACCGCACCGAGGACACTGGTATAAACTGAACAATTCTTCTATGGTAGCAGCACTGCTATTATTCTCGTCGCGAACTGCAGTCAACATATGCTGTTGATCATCGCTCACGGAGGTACTAGCTGCAGAAAGACGTTGGGTATTGATCGATAGAAGACACTTCAGCTCGCAGCAAGAGTTCCACCTTTGTAAGCACGCCTGGTGCAAGGGACCTCCTGGAAAATAGGTTGGTGAATAGCATAGATAGGGTAGGTAGGTGGTTGTATTATTAACTGAGTAGTAACGGCTGAAGTACAGAGTCCGCCATAAAATGTACGGACTCACAAATGGAGACATGTGTCTACAAGCTTGATTCCACATATTTCTAGGCAAATTGGCTGATTTCACGATACAAACAGCAAATGGGCGAATTCATAACGAACGAATGCAGCTTGCTTGATTGCGGCAATGCGTGAGGCCGATTGTTACACCATTTGGTTACCTTCGCATGTTAGTAGTTTCTCTGCTATGAATTTCGTCCAGACAACTGACCAGAGCTGTCGATTCTGTCTCGTTTTCAGACCCGTGCCGCCGTAGCACCTCTTCCCACCCTGAAGAGAACATAACGGAGCCTTCGTCTGCCTACTGGGTCTGTACCGCTTATTTGGCCCCATTGGTAGGAAGGCGAGTAGCGCTCACTGATTGGCTGACTAACCAGTGAAGCTCCACATTGTGATTCGCATGCGAAATTCGTTACCTACCTTGGATGTAAGGGCAGCCAACTGCTCGAACAGACTAATACTCGAATAATGCGCACGGAGGGCGCGTGACGTTACCCCAGATAAGGCTGTACATACTTTAGGTTTCCTCATTTGACATAGAAACAAATTTATTTTGATTCATTCTAAAGGTCACATCGAGATGCCCTTTGTTTACCAGCGAGTCATCTGCTAAATGACGCCGGGACACGTTTTGAAGTCAACTCAGCTTGAAAGATTTGCGGTGACAACCGTTGATTAACTGAAAGTATGAACTTGCAATAACCATCTAGAAACTTCTGGGCATTCTGGTCACCAATGAGGACTGAAATACCGCTTAAATTCATGCTCATGTTTTGTTACTTTTCAGAATTCCAAAGAGAGTGCATAGGTTTGGATGGTAAAATTCACTATTCAAGGGCCGAACAAACTAGAAGCGTCACTAGTTTTTTCAAACCTGACTGACCAGCCGTGATGGACGGCCAATTTCAAAATCAGGATACCCTTCTGGCTCTACCACGAAAAGCAAATATCAGAATCCATATTTCGGTGCGCAAACAAAGTGTCCGTACGGCCGAAGCAACGAGACATCATTTCTCGTTCTCGGATAATTGAGTATCACACTGTTTTGTACAGAAATAAACACAAACAGATTAAAAAACATGTGCTGCGTGATCTAAACAGAATCAGAGAGAATGTGGACGGGTTGAGGACAGGAACCGCGGACGTACGGTGAAAATTCAGGGATAATTGTACAAAAGCTCAGTTGGGGTTGAAAGTAAAGGACATCGGTTTAAGCACGCGACATGCTGAGCGGCTGCTTCGAACAATACATGTTAAACAACTGAATGTGGATTCACATCACTTTCGTTTGAACAGACATACTCATGCCCTGGCGAAACTGTTCTGGTGAACCCATACTACAGGGTGGAAGCACTGCACTAGAGTCTCGTTCTTATTTGGACTCATCCGCACTACCTATCCTCGGTCGTACTGAGGACTGAACCCCGAAAACTTCATGTGCGAGGCGAACACTTTCGTTTTCTCCGACATGACACTTCAGGTGCATCCAGAGTGCGCTGAAGGAGCATTAACATACTCGGCTCGCTTGTCAGATATGTCAGTCCACGAACTGCCAAGGATAATTGCTGCTGATGAGCATTAATGAGAGCATAATTAAGTCCAATGCTTCCTCTGTTCGGCATTGGCTTATCAGAATACCACTACCAGGACAAGAGGACGACTGCCAAAACGAGAGTGAAGTGAACGCGAATTCCGTAAGTCCGACAACAATCCACAACTAAACAAATCTAAATGTTGTGTTGAACTGGAGCGGGGAAGGTTACCAAAAACCTCTCGCACATTGTGTAGGCTGTTCAACGGCTGAATGTGAATAAACGGCCAAGACCAACGTGGCAACAGCCTACTAAGGAGTGAAACATTTACATGAGGCCCTTATGAATGATGCATGTACGGCTCTGAGGGATTACTAAAGTGCACCGTGATAAAAACTTCCATGACCATCAGGGATACGGGAAAACATGGAGTGAAGCAAGGACAATGCTGTCAGGATATCCGTTCTCTTCATTTGGAGACCCACCGGGTCACATATCGCCCCTGAGTGTATATGCAAGCAAATAAGCACACTCGCTGCTTCAGAAGTGGTTTTATTGCATATCATAGACAATGCTGTCTTCACCGTTCTGACTTTCGAGATAGCGTCCTTGGTTTGCTCCATCCCACTGAGTTACATGTTAGTTTTGGTCATTCGAATGTGAACTGATGTCACCTAGCCACTGTCGCCATCCATAATTCAGAGTTCTACTTTCTAGTGTGTATTACAGACCAGGGCTGACAATATTTCGTTTCTCTTGCTTAAAGTTAACGGATAATACCGAACGGTTTGACGATGCCAACGCGTGTGAACGCCTGAGGGCCTGGATGAGTTCGTCTTTCACGGTTGGATTATCAGTCGATCATAACCTCGGGATTATCTAGCTCACTTTGATTAGCCAAATCAAAGACTTTCCTTTCTGATTTCAACGTACAGATTTTTCTCTCACTAGAATAAGAGATCAACCGAGAGACGTGAGAGAATTGTTTTGTTATAAAAGATAGTAAATTGCAAGTGCAGTAGGTACAGTTTATAACCCAAGTGTAAAATCCCACACCGTTGGTATGTTGAAACTATGGAGGAGAAACTTGTTTCACAAAAGTTAGTAAGGGTCACGAGTTTTGTGTGATGTTGCATTGGGTTTCACCCAATCTAAATGAAATTTTTGTTTTGTTTAGTAGACAGGAGACAGTCCGTCAGTCAGTTAGCATGACCATCTTCGGTATTTTCAATCTATTTCCTCATCATTGAGCAGATTTCCATGAAAAACCAGCGAATCAGCATTAGTTATCAATTCATTTCGTAAATTTGTTTGCCACGTGAGGGAAATATTCGGGAATAAAGTGGAAAGTACCGCTCTAGTAGTGCAGGGCGGGTGCAAACACTAAACAAATCGCTCAATGGGACGCAAAAGTCAATAATCGGAAGTGTAGGCAGTAACGAAAACACACGAGTTTGCTCGAAAAGTACGATTTCCTCTACAGACACTTACAAATTGCTCGATTTTTAGTCACAAGTGTGACTATCCGTTCTGCCGGATTCGTGAGCATCGGAAAACGTCGAGTCATATTTCAGTCATGCCAAACTTCAAAATGAGTAACATGACCCGGGAAAATTACAACCACAAACCGTGTATCTTGCGATTGAATGCGCCACTCAGTATGACGAGAAAAGACGCGCCACAGCACTCCACTGACAACCTGTGGGACAGTCACAGAACAGCAGACCAGTAGTGAACCCCAACCATGTATCACCGGCTACCGGTTTCAAATGTGACACACGCACCCATATACACACGCGCACGCACGCAATCCTCTCCATATCGTCTGTGACTGCGACGATGAACACGCGCATGCAACCACACAAAGAAACAAGGCCATATGCGCACACTATACGTGACCTTGACCTCACATAAACATTTCAGGTAAAGGCCACGCCAACATGGGAAGTAGGCTAGATGTTAGTTTGCTTCGTGCACACCACCCACCCAAGTGCACTTTTCACAATCCACGGGGTTTGATACCAAACGCCATTCATTGCATTAATCTATTAGCGTACTGGGTACACTGCGAACGTAATTCTCTGCGAGTTAGAATGAGTAAACAAACAATTTTCCACGAAAAGCGAACTGTGGTGACAAGCATGATAAAATTAGCGCAACACAAGCAATGGAATCCCGTCACATGTTCATCCAACTACGCGATTGAATGACAATAAACGATCAACGTGAGAACCAATGGCTGAAACCAGGTTATCCGCAGGTAGAATAGAGGATAATCCGTGTAGAACTGAACAGGATAGAATTAAGTAACGTATTGATTGCCCAGTTGCGCGCGACGGCTACGGTAAAGCACGGCATTAAAAATACACTTCGAAAACCTGTAGATTATCACCGTTTGCACATTATTCATTAGGAAGAGCTAACTACATACAAACAGCTCATCAGTATTTCTCTACCAATAACTCGGGACGGACAGTTGTGTAAGAGAACTGCACTTTTGGCATTCAAATAGAGCCAATTTCATCTGATATAACCGTCTGAGTGCTCCCAATCCAAGCATTTGCATCAAAGTCGTGTGGGTAGAACTCAATGGTGGTGAACAATTCGAGCTGCAGCGTACTGATATTACTTTCAGCTCCAAGACTGAATAACGCCATGGAAAACCCAAGTGGCTACTTCATGAGAGGGCTACACGTGAGGCAAACCATACCCGAAAAGGTAATGATCACTAAGGCGGAGCCCGTCAGCAGAACCTCCTGAAAGGGAAAACACTACTCTGAAGAGCACACGGTTGAGCTACACATCAACCGCTGTTTATTCTGCCCTTTCCTGGTATGGTCCTCTCTTTAAAGGAGTCACTGTGGTCGTAAAAGATCCCCATTACCCTATCCTCTAGGCTGAAAAACGGTGTCCTTCGATGTGAATGACAAAGCCGTTTATTCAGCTCACCCAACAGTGGTTGGAAATGGTTGAAATTTTTATAGGGATCGGGATCAAGTGAAAACAGTTACGACCGAATCAAGTAGGCATTCGAGTACATTCGACTTACTGTCACTTCGAAACAACAAGTTGTATGACTGTGCATGAGCATGGGCATCTTCGGGAATTAAACACTGGGACCCATCGCCGTTCAACTATTATAGTACCCTTTCGGAGCTAGCTAGTGGAAAGTCAATGGGTGTGATCCCACGGGCTTAAGGTCCACTTCCATTCTGCATGCTACTTGTCTATAGAACTCCGTTATGATCAGGTTCCCAAAAAACTGCTTAGTTTGTGGCACGTGCGACGTGTGCGTTGGATCTGATGGACAGTGTCCTGAAGGCTGTACAGGAGAATGCGGTTCAGACGGATATTTTCATAGCTCGGATGATCATAACGTTTTTGGGAAACCCAGAGCGACAACTATGATTTTCAGGCTAACAGTCTACGAAGCTCAAGACCCTATACGAGTCTCACATTTACTTAGGAAGAAACACCCCGTCAAGAATCTGCAGGACATTAGCTTGGCTCCCACAACCATCGTGTTTCGTGTTGTGAAAAAATTTGGGGATAACATCTTGGACCTTTGGCTAACGACCGATTGAAGATAAAATAGACTGGGAACCACTTAAAGTCGAGTCTATTCCCACCACATTTTTCCACCATTCATTTCCTTTGTAAAATCACATAGTCCTGCAACCCACTGTCGAGTTTACGTCACCTACTCTCCGATACGTAGGGTTGGAAGGTTCACTAGAACTTCAGTTTACAGGTGCCTGAATGAAGACAGTACAATAAGGCGGGTCTCACACCGTATCATCCTGCGGCCAAAACATAGATTAAGCGGTTCGTACGATCGCAACATGTTCAGTAATACAGCCAGCTCTTAGTTGCGTGTCTTCTGGTTTCACCGGAAGACTAAGCGAAGCTTAATCAATCATATGTCAACGTTTTGTCTAAAGGTAACAAACTGTCCTAACCCAGCTATCGCATCACAGTTTCATTAGCAAGTAAAGGGCCATTGTCGCACAAAAATCCCCATTGCTGGAGTCACCCGTGGTCTCCTATAGAGATCGGGTTGGGTTTCGGAAAATGCACGAAGGGAAGACGAAGAGAGAAATATTCGTGAAAACAATAAAACATAGAGCTCAAAGAACTGGGAAAAAGTACATACCGTAGTTACATCCGGCTGTAGCGCACGTTACTCGGACTGTCGTAAAGGGTAAGTCGAGTTCATCAAATGTCCGTGTACCTTGGAAAGCATGGCAAATTCCACCTGGAGCAGCACAAGACCGAAAACCGATCACTTCTCCATGAAAGCCTACATGCGTGGAGGAGTTGGCGTGGCCCACACCGTTAAATACGGCCTCATGAATCCCCGCCAACTTTTCAGACCACGGGTTTCGGGTAGTCAACACAGAAGAATGGTAGGAGTTTACACTGGATGCCTCTGGTTTTTGACAAGGTGAAAAGCAATGTCGATCAACTGACTGGAACTCCGCGTTACTGGACAATGAAGGATTGACGGAGTGCGTTGACCAGATAGTCGATACTGAGTCAACTGAGCTTAGCCCAGGCGAGCTTGCACAGCCAGGAATCGCAGACATTGTGAAAGACGCAGTAGCTTCGGCACAGCTATAAAAAGTTCCACCTGACGATATGACGTCATCTTAGGTATCTGCCTCATACGTCTTTTCATAAATTGAATAGGTACACAGCTTGATTACATTCTAAGGTGGGCTAGACAACCTAAGAGTTTCAATCCAATCTTCGGCTGACCAGCTATTTGGCGGTTTATCCATGTGATAAGCAAGCCAATTGCAAAAGTGCAAGTAAAACTCTGTTCACTGATTGGTCAGTTGAGCATAGAGATTAGACGATTCAACCAATCAGAATCAGGCCTGTGTCACCACTGTCCAAAGCGAGTTTACTGCTTCTTATAGGACAACACGCTGGTCATGCACGTCTAGCCAAAATTATGTCCTGCAATCAGCGGGGCTACGCGGATTTCGCCCTCTCTGCTCTAATTTTTTCCATTCCGCACTGCCAAAACGAACTGAGGCGTAGCATGGCTGTAACCGCGGTTGTTTCCTTCCCGTTCGCATGATGACCGTCCCGGCCAACATGCAGGCCAAAGCTTCACGCATACATACCAAGTAGACTAAGAAGAGTATGTTTGGTACTATAACTAGGTCAAAGCCGCTTTACACCTTTTTTATTTACGCCACGGACTTGAAAATCTCAGCTAACCACATCATGAACCCTAACTTCTAATAGCGTCTTCATGTAGTTGATGGCGACACCTAACAGAACGCGGGAAACATAATTAGCCGAATAGTTAAAGCACTTGATTAATACCCGTGTAGCAGTCCGACTTGGAATGGTGTGGTACAGAGCGCAAACGTCCATAAGCGCCACTCTGCTTACGATTAGATCGCCGGTAGACACGCATTTCGAAATTTCATCGAATTGACTAGCTGGTACCTGTCTTATGAACTCCACCAATGTATCGGTGGTCAGAATTCCAGACGATGAAAGCGGGCCAAACAGATTTGACAATCATTGCCCTACAGTCTCCCAACAGAGACACTTCTCAGAAATCGGGGAGTCCCTACAATGCTTGACACGATTGCCAGATTGCGTTGATCTACGAAGATTCAGGATGTCAGCCGCTTAGAACCTCTGGTAGTTAGCTCTGGTGTGCACTTATAGTGAGTGGACTTCCCATACAAAGGAGTAGGCATGCAGCTTGTGTATGATAAGGCAAATAATAAAATGTGTCTCCTTGTCAGTGCAACGAACAATTTCAAGTAATGTGGGCTCACTCACTTGAGAGAAGCACAGTTCTGCAACTGTTAACCGAGCTGAAAAGCCAGGTTCATGGGAAATAATAAACAAGATATTCCTTTCCCTCACAGGTAAACGAGGATCGTCTAGTACAGTTGAAAAAAGTCGCGGGATACAGATTAGATAAGATAAAACTATTAGCAACTATCTACATGCGGTTTAAGCTGATGAAGCCACAGAGCTCTTCAACTTGTGTTCTCTGAAGTTGCTTTCGTGGTTCACTGAATCGCACTGGTGAAGGTAAAATAAATTATTCTCCACACTCCGCAGCCGAACGGTTCTCCAAAGCCCACGATACCACGCAACTTTAAACTTTCCATGAAAGTTTATTCCAGGCAACGGCAAATCACTTTGTCTCTGGTATAAACGGAAAACCATAGCTTCTGATCGGTTAATAAGTAGGCTCCGTCCTCGATATGAATGCCGCTCAACTACTATGATAAATCAAACTCAGGAATACGCCAAGATGTCAGCGGTTAAAGCAGGACAACCAATTCCGAAGACCAACTCTACATTTCGTCGACTTTCTCGACTAGTAAGTGAAGCATGGTCCTCCAATTGTTGGACAGCGTTCAACTACAAGGTTTAACAATCGATCAATATGCGAACATTATTTTATCACGGAAGCTATGTTCACCAATTTATGATATATTATGTTCTCTACTTAATGATAAGTCCGGAGAGCTAGTCAATCTGGAAGATGAAAAAGTGAGTAACAAGTAACAGAAAACGGATTTCGACATCAGGGACGAGGTACCTGCTCCATCTAATAAGATTCCGTGAACGCATTGTGTATATAGGTCCTTCATGACATTCCATATTCATTTTCAGCTGGGTATGAGCCATATTCCACAAAAGATCAGATGGAATAAAGGGATGCTACGAAAAAACTTCATTTTGTGCATACCAACGATGAACGGTCTGTGGACATCGGTCCGTAGAATAACATTTGGCTGGTTGCTGCAGTAAGTTTAGACTACATCACAGGGCAATTACCAGCACAGTTGCTTTAGGATCTTTTGATTTCCTCAACGGCAGACATCATACTTGTTCTACCCGTTGGTAGTTGGCTCTTCTGACCGACCGGTATAAAATCTTGAAGCTCTTTTCCTATAAGAAATGCTACTTGGGAACTTGTTTTTTTCAACTCGAGACTACTGTCTAACTGAAGATGCCATCCTAAAACAAGTTAAAGTCAAGGAAATCTTTAACAGCTTTACTGCCAGGTAAAATATCTTGACAATAATTTCAATGTCAGTTCGTTAGCCAAACTATGTTGATTTGTTGCATAGCTATCATGCTGTCCTTCAATGAACATGAGCTTTGAAGATCTTAACTTACTCAACTGCTTTCACCTGTTCGTGTGCGAACACTATCGGTTGCGCAACATATGTCAGGCAGTATCCAGGCAAGGACGCTACGTTCGACGTTCTTAATATTACGGTGGATTTGCTGTTAATTATCTGACTAAATTTTTGGATAACACCAGGACAGATCCTCGATATGTGCAGACTTCGATAGGAACGGTAGACTTTTATTAACCCAGTAACATGCGGTTTTTTTAAATATCGCCTCATCTCAGAGAATGTTCAGGGACTAATATACATTGTTGTGATCCCGGAAATTAGCCAAGGATTCGATAGACCGTTGGAAGGTCTCATTCTCCCGAGCAAAATTACCAAGTTTCTGTATAGAGGTAACACATTATCAGTATGGTAGCTGAAAACTCTTCGATGTTCTGAGTAGTTTATTAGGTCTATCGCCATATCTCGAATATCGCACCAAGTGAAACATGAGGCTATCTGGTGCAGCACATTCAGTTGCTTAAGAAGGTCACAAGCGGGAGTTTCATGTGAGTTCCAGGTGAGTCTTCGGTCAAAACCAAATTGGTATACAAATGAGTGCATTTCACTGAGTCTTTATTGGTACAAAAAACGACATTCCTGGAAGACGTTCCAAACTCTTCATTGCCTGTTAAAGTTTACTTGATTGCGATTAGTTCAACTTCTAATCCGTTACTTGGCTGACCTTGTCAACCGGCCGTTGTTAAATAATTGTCAGAAACTCGCTTCCTATTGCGTCGTACAGGGGCCGGTCGGAAACATATGGTCCCGAAGTCCTGTCAGTCTATTTCGTAAGTGAACGTCGGATTAAATATACATGGAGCCGAAACCGTAAAAATGGAAATATTGTAGCTTGGGGCTCAACTGGTTCCGTTTTTATCATATTCCCCCAACCGAATAGTTGTATCAGAGATCAGGTAAGTGACTTTTCAAAACATCATATGATTCTTCTTTGATGTAAAGTTATGAATACAAGTCTGACCAAAATCTGTTGAATATCATGAACAGTAGATTTGTTTGATTCTTATTTTAACGATATTTGTTATCCCGAATGCATGCTCAACTCACCACTGATAAACTACTTCTGAAGGTGTAACGCACCACTCGTAAGATTTCTGAAAACTTCCGACCGACGATGATCGGTTTCGCCCTTTTTGGAGATCATCAAGTAACCGTAGCCCGGAGTTTCTCCATCGGCCTTCTGTTCTACTTGAACCCAAGCTGTACAGAATTCGATAACTATTCTCATTTACACACAAACTTGGTTTTGACAGGAGACTCGTTTATGATGGTCTGCTTCAACTGAATGTGCTACACTAAGCAGTCTCTTGTTACAATTTTCAATTTTCTATTAATCGTAATAGACCGTTTCTACTTAACACATTCACTGTTTTTCGTAGTTTAGTGCCATCGATTTTCGCTGACCGGTGAAATATAATCGGTCTGTCAGTGGAACCACTTTGCAAACCTCGGTTATTGGAATATTCTCCTTACTATTGTAGGTCAAGGAAACTAGAAGTCCAACATGGGCAGAATGTTCCTAGGCGGAGAGACTGAGTAATGATGGATCCAGCTCTTTCCCGTGGTGTTGGTTGGAACCGTCACAAGGATTGGTTGACTGTTACTTCATCGTAACTTGGGGTTAGGATGCTGGATACAACCAAGGGTCCCAAAATTAAGTAAACTACTTCGGAGTTGTGAGTAGAAGTTTCCATATTGAGCTACACTATGTCCATGAAAATGGAATCAGATCAAATAATCAGTACGCGACATTAGGAAATTGAATGATTCTCAAACGAAAGTGATGTGACAACTAACCTCGTCTGGTCCGTCTCAACTGCCGTAGGATTCCACTGAGCGAGGGTGAGCATGATTTCCTCGTCCACCTTGATATATAGATTACTATAATGCGTCTTATGAGAACATACTAAGTTAAAAGATGGCTTGAAAGCTAAAGACCATGGATCCTCTCAAAGCCGAGGATATGGGATAAATTAGGTAAAGCACTTCTGGAGTTTGTATTCACGAATAAAGCTTATTTTCCTCCCACCTTATGGTATAATTCTTCTGGAGTCATGATCTGGCTCATTCTGCCCAGATGTTCCCTAATCCGGCAAAAGAAAACGGGTGTTTGCATCTACCCTCTGAGTATTATGGCTTGGCCGTAATGCTTGTCGTGAAAAGTAACGGCCAAGTCGCATTCATATGATGCGATTCCCAGAGAGATTTTGAGTTCAGTTACGGAAACAGCACGTTGGTCATTGAAAACCATCCGTAGGGATCATGTACGAAACGGCATACGGCTACTACTGAATTTCACCTCACGACTAGTCAAAGGTGAGGCTTAGGAACAAACCAAGATGCAGGGGTTAAATGACATTTCTTCCCCGAAACATTGCCGCGACACTGAAGTACCTCAGACCACTGTGTAAGTGTTGAGATACACATCTTTACGCTAGTTATCAAGTATACAGTTCGCTCGGCTAAGATACCAAGTATGCCTTTGTCATCGACTGTGTCATATCCTGAAAGGAACTACAATCTCATGTGGACCCAGCAACTGACAGCAACCATGGACGACCTGGTAAATAAGCCGTCAACCTTGTATCTCAAACCCCATCTTGAAAAAAGTCGAAGTCATATAACTTTAACTCGTTCACATCAGACTAAGAATGCGTGAGAAACAGATTACACGCAAGCAGAGCCCTCACTCACCAACTTGTTCTATCCCCAGAATTTCTCAAAACTTTACTGCATTCTGAGTAAATGAGACCTCGCGATTATTTTGTGGCATCTTCCTGGTGTACATGTGCCCAGAGCGCAATCGGGCCACTGTTTCATTTTCTAGTATACCTATGAACATATTACTTCTTAGTGAACAGAATCAACCTTGCCTTTGGATATGCTCTGTAACTGTGGAAGTTGGAGACCGGACCGGCGATGTGATCTAAACAAGATCACATATATATACAAACAGCTTATTCAGATTCAGTAGGGTGTGAGTCAGTAAGAGCTTACCTGATACCTTTATGGATTCTATTCAAGTAAGCATAACTGTGAACGACTATGGGTGTGAAATATGTTCCGGTTAAAGTGCCGTCTTGGACAATTCAGCTTTACTGTTGGACAGTAGTAGTCAGTGGATTTCGGTGCACTTTCTTCAAGCTGGAAGGCATTCTCCCCTACGCGCAACCCATCAGCTCTGATGACAGTCATCACGATACCACAACCACGGGCTAAGCCATGCTAAGAGCAGTTTTTTCCTTTCGGCATGCGATTTGTTACCCAGTCACGATACGGAGGCATAGATATTGGATATCACGTGTGGCACGTGAGCAACGCCCCAACTTTTGGACATTATTCGAATGTGCACACCAGATATGCGAAACACGTCGCTTAAGTCCAAGTTCTTTATGCATCGTCACAATGACACCGCAGCACAAAACAACTGTGTTGTCTAGCAACACAGTATATCCCCGAGCCACCAGCCTACCAATACTACTCATAAAAGAATTGTACAGCATGCCTGAATTGGAGGCACATGTTGGGACCAGAATGGTGATGCAGGCCGGCTGTGTTCCAACATGGAAGCCCTCTAAACCATGCTACATTGACAGAAAGTACGGCACAACTATCCGTCCGAAGACTGCCAGCCTCCTAAAAAAACTTACCCATCTTTACACGTGGGCACAGCTTACTTAGTTCGAGATATTCTGAACGGACGCAGCTTGTTTTTGCATTTTCAGGTAACAATCTACTGAACTTCCGATTTATGTTCAAAAAACTGCAACCTACGAAAGGTTTGAAAATTAGTTATCAGAGGCCTATTGATTAAAACGCGAGCTATATTTAAAAAATGACCAGCTCTGAAGTCACCATCGTAGCCCAGAAGCCGAAGGTTGACCATAGTCGTTACACTTATGTCAAAGTCTGTCTTAGCTTTGCTAGAGTGAAAATGACATTTTTGTTCTAGTATTGGTTCACAACGGAAGTTAGTCGGTCAGTTGAACGGTAACTCATTCGTTCGTAGGGCGGTGCAACGCAGGCTTAAACCCACAGGTGTGTTGACACACCGTGCAATTTCATTCGTTCTTAACGTGCTATCTTTGTAATCACGTCAATTTTCCCGCTGCCTTTGCGTACTGAATGTTTCACACGGTAGGACCGGATGTCCGCGTGCTGGCAGACTCCCACATCGAACGCCACACTGCCGTGTCTCTACCCTGGCCTTCTATTTTCCGGTCGCCTTACGCACCTGCGTAAGGCGTACGCAGTGTGAGCAACCGACAGTGCCGTCCACTCGGGCATGTGGTTGTGCAGAGAGCACGATCTGAATCACGTCTGAGTCATGTCGTACCTGTGCAACTGTCGCAAGCGATCCCAGGTACACTGTGTATACGCTTGGCTTAGGAATGCAACAGACACCGGAGCAGGAGCAGAAAGCGCTGATTTGGTAACTAGCGCTGATAGGAGCCAGATCTGATGAGATGGGACTCGTCGATCGAGTGATCAATAGCCTATTCGGTGGGCTGAATGCGCAGCCAGGGTGCGACGACGGGCAGCTAGCGGTCCGCATGGCAACGAAAGGGAAGAAGCCATTCGTTCAGACCGCAAGCGGTCCCAGTAACATCAGTCAAACCACCCCGGCAATTGAAGACTCGGAGTTGACTGTCAATGAAGAGAATTGTTTTTCGGTGGAAAATTTTAAGCTGTCTTGGAATAACGCATATACGGTCCACCATCTTCAAAGAATGATCTGCAATCACAACGAGAACTTCTCGGTCAAAATTCGGCCACTTTTTGGCTGCCTTCACTGAGCAATGAGCGGATCCTTGCAATATCATGTATTAAATAATACGAAGTGCCTGGAATCTGGAGACTGAAGTTTTCATCATATGTCACTCTGTCTTCAATCCACTCGCAAGCCAAAAAGTGCCATTCACTCAGGGTGTTGTTTTAAAAAATAAAGTATGATGTTTCGGTTGTCTGGTTACAATCATTTGCGTGCGCTTCTGTTTGGATTTGTACCTTTAAAGTTGCTGTCACAGTCTGGCAGACATGCCTTCGTACTGGAGGACACCAGGGACACTGGAATAGGTGAAGTCGCTGTGATAGACACCAGAAGGGGCGGCAACACCTGGACCTGTTTCCAGTTCATAGAGACGATGTGTGATGTCTAGTTAAAATCTCAGCGTATCAGCCATCATAAGAGCACAGACCACGCCATCATGTTAATCTTTCACGATCAGAATAACCCTAGCTGGAACTAGACTGAATCTTGGGTAGTGAACGAATACTATTCGTCGTTATTCGTTGTTATTGGACAACAAACGGCCACGACAGTGGTCTCATTCGTATGGACTCTACTAACCAAGCAGTTTTCGTCCGAAATAATTACTCGGCTGTTCTCAGTTCCTTTATTACAGCATGAGGTCGAGCATGGCTTTGTTAACATGCCAAGATGAAACAATTGGGGTGAATGATTTCTGGTTGATGCATCGTCTGTATTTCATCCTAATCAATTGGCAATTCTATTTGTTACTGAAGTTCAGTTTCTCGGTTAATCGTAACTAAATAATGATGGACTGACTTTGAATGTTCTCGTTGAAAATAAATGGAAAAAATGAAAGTTCAAGTCTTTTAGAGGGCTCATATGCAACACTGAAGCCAGCACTCGTCCACTGCCCTTTATTCGTTCAACCAAAAGCATATCTTAGACTGCTGACATAATGCCACAGAACTAACAGATAAGGCCACAGACTCACAGAATACAGCATCGTCCGTAGGCGAGAAAGGAAAAATGACCTCAATCTGAAGCGTTTTTTCTGCATTTTTCTCTACACTGCTAATCGAACTCTACTTATTACAAATTAAAAAGATCTTAACCAATAATGTAAATATCTGAGCTCAAAACGGTTGACCTACCGCGAATGACCGCCAATCAGCTGATTTCATACTGATTGAGTTCAGGTACACTTGGTAAAGAATAGTTATTTCAAAGCTGATGACAAATCCCACATTGTTTTAAGGGTCGCACCAAACATATTAGGAATAGCAGTCACATGGAATTCCATCCTGGAATTATATATATCTGAAGTATCCGTGATATATGGGTACGCAACTGTCGTTCGTTAGAATAAGGCGTTTTGTGGATGATAATTTTGACCTTACATTGATGAGTTTAACTTGATGCTTCTATTGTAAAGCTTCAGTCAAATTCTACCTAACTGCAATGGTTCTTTCCGCAGCATTCGCACCCTAAGGGAAGAGTGCCCTCGGTGAATACGAGAATGAGACCGGTTTATGTGACCTGTAGTTCTAAGCTCCCAGTTTTTGCACCAGGAAACACTTGCACTACTGCAGGTAACTTCCCTCATGGTCGCACTGTTTCTGACTAGGCTACAGACCTCAGTCTGATCATAGCAAAATTCGGGTAGCACAATCATCAGCAACATCAATAGGAATAGCGAAAAAGTAGAATGTCTGTACCTTTCACCAATGTTTTTTCCGGATGAACAGGTCATTATTGTTGGCATCAGAAACAAGGTGAGACAAATTGCGCAGCTTATGAAACAGGCACTGCGAGGGTCGAAGCATTTCATACTTTGCCCATTATCGTCGATGGTGAAATGTTCAAAGTTGCGATAAAATTATCAGATTTCGAGGGCAAGTGGTCAGTTCACTGGCTTCAGCTGTTGTGAAGGTTATTGATAAAGTATTCTACCCAACTGAATAACATTGTTACTAGAAGAACCGCTTAATGTATGCGTCATCGAGCTAAACCTTTCATTACTTATTAATACTTTGATATTTAGTAAGTTATTGGCCGAAACATTCACTCAGATTTATTTTCAGGTACAGTTTCCAATGTTTTTGGAAAAATGACATGACTATAAAAAAAGTTTCATTTTATTTGCAGTAGTGTTTGCGTACAGCTCAGAAGTGGATTGGAAACACGTGCGAACCAAATACAAGACTACTGGTAGTTACTGCTTAGAAAATCTACCTTCTATGTAGTCCTCAGAAGTTATCCAGTTGAGCTAAGGAAATGACATACTTACAGTGTATTAGACACTTAAATTGACTATGCTCCCCTCCCAGTGCAATGCGCAAGCGAGGATAATTATCTATATTCTGTGATTTTGGTTATGTTCAAGCCCAATGATACTTGTTCATTTTCTTCTCAATGTACAACATGTATCCGAAAATCTCGTTGGTCTTTAAATTTGATTGAGGAGGTTTGCTGTGGGTAACTATGGTTTCTGCTGCGGGTACCACAAAATAGACTCGAATAAGCTGGGTAGCGGTTGGCGCAATTAAATAAGCCTTTGATCAATACAGGATTATGCCCTGTTCTACCGGGATGGTCGATGGATGAAGTTTGACAAACCCAGCCCCATGGCCATGTCAGCCAAGGATTGGAGTATGTGTAGCAGTTTGTTCGTTAAAAGTTGGACTGCGGTGGTAGTCTTATACCAACGATCTCTGCCTTGGAATCTATAGACTCCGATACCTCTTATCGTCCTCCTGGAAAAAGGTCACTCTACATAAAACAATGAAATACCGGGAAAATAAATATATGAGCAGTCTCCAAAGCATACAGGCAATGTTGCGAAATATTCGCGTTTAGGATGAAACGTTTATTGCGTTAAGAGCTTCGCTAACAGCAACAAGATATGGTGTTACCTCTTAAAGAGATGAAGTCACTGTGTAATCAACCAAAAAACTGATAAGTATGGTTAAATAAGAAGTAAAAGATGGTTGCTGGAGCTTCGCTGAGGGTTTAACCTTGTCTAGGGGTAGGCGGATTCCCAAAGTTGCAGTCTATCTTTTATTTCACGTGAACATCAAATCGTACATAAGTCACGCACACAAAGTCCTTCATTCGTTCACTCAATAGGAATTTGCGGAATCTTTGAAGGGTGTTCGAATGAATCGACTATTTATGCTGTTCTTTGACCGGATGTACAGTTAGTTCGTAGGCTGTATCATCGTTTAGTTGGGTCGATGTTCATAAATTCGTCTCTCAAAAAGGGCATTTCCTCTTTTGGGTTCCTCCTGAGGATCGAACTATCAACCGAAGCTGAGGATCATCATACCAATAATTTTCATTGTGACATTATTATTAGTAATTGTTAGGTAAGTGAACCGAATGGTGAATTTTCAATCTGAAGGTTTCGTGGCACCCTTGAACTCTTCGAATGGCAGTATCCGTGAGTCATCATCCTCGGGGTGACAGTATTACTAACCTTATGGTAATGGAATACCGCCGGTTTATCCATTATCACCTTGAAAGTGCGCCAACACAAACCTTGGGAACATAAGTATGGCACTACAGTGGGAAAGGTGACGCATTACAACAAAGGCTAGGGATGATCGACGAATGGTGCCGGTGCGTCAACGCTAAACAAGTAACTGTTGCCGGTGGCGATTGTCATCGTGTTTGGGCTGACTGATGACTGACCTACATTGGTGCCAAGGTCTTGAACGCACTGCGACCTTCGGCCATAGAAAACCCTTTTTAACTATTTAACAGTATTCAGAGAGTCGTTCAGTCGCTGGTGGCCGGTAAAGCTGGTTAGGATGCCATCCATTCTTGCTTTGCCACAGTGGATTACCTTTCATTTATAAGGGTATTAGCACTTTCCCCTTTTGGGTTACTTCATGGGTTCCCCGTTCCTGTTTTATATCAACACAAAGTCTTCTTGGTCCGAGTACAGTGGCTTCATCGCAAAACCACAAAAGCATTTCCCCTACCTTTCATGTGACGATAAGTTCTGATCCGAACCAAAGATGCTATCGTTACGTATTATGAACATTCCTAGCAATGTCAACACGTAACTCCGTGCTCTCTTTACTCGCTCACTTCACGGTTCGTCCGTTTTCGTGTGTTGCACTTTCAGCGGTGTAGAGGATCAGGAGAATTTTAGGTTTGTTCTCTGCTTAGGTGTCACGTGCGGCCACACGCCCTAACGCAACGAGCGCTACCTGATTAAAACCGGTCACGTGGGTCATGTGACCATGTGCTCCAGCTGTTGGACAGTATGGATTCACTCACGTCCTGTTTTCAGGCCAAGGTACCAGAGTGAAGTGAACACTAGCGTAGCTTTGAGCAAACAAAGTAACAGTAAAACAGCTAGAGAGCAGGTAGTTTAGAGAATCCATGACGAGCACTAAATTATTCAGAATGAAGTTGTTGACTGATTTGTCGTGGCTAAAAAGCAGTTCACATCCACTGGTAATCCTTAGGTCATGAAAGACCTGCACAAATAGAACCACCGAAATGAAGACAAAGTTTGGCTGGATCCAGGCCCTTTGACCTAGCTGACGAATTAGTGGTTCAATTTCACAGTAAGCTTTTTAAGTCAAGCGTGCTCACCTAAGATAGCTTGCGCTGGACAAAGTGAGACACTACTGAACGGATATCACCACAAGTTTTAGATCCTAAATGGGGTACCAATACTTTCGTGGGGACTTGGTCAGCAATATCAGCCTTCAACATTTTCTACAATTGTCTAAGGACATTTTCGACAAAATTTTTCACTCTGTGCCGAATGTTTTCACTTCACCCTGAATAAGCCCTCCCGACTGTCCACATATGCACAATTAGTACAAGCGTCGTCGACTTCCGTGACCTGATTAAATGTGAACAAGCACACGTATGACCAAGCAATCCTCAACTACAGTTAACCAAAAAAATAGACGTATGAAAAATAGTCACGCCAGTATCGCGAACATTCCACGGGGACCTTAACCGTTGCTGTATCCACACAGGCATACGTATCAATGAGGGGTTTGATTTATCCTTGGAGCCTTAATGAAAAATGCCCAATCCTCTGAGTGTTCTCGAGTGTCATGAAGTAAGATTAGTTTATTGGACACTATTCTAATTCGAAGAATGAACGCAAGGTGGGCATTTATCATCAAGACCAAAACATCTCAAAACACCCTATCAGCCAATTCCAACGGAATTACTGTTCAGGAGGCAAAAACTCTTCAATAATGGCCTTGACCTTATTTGGGGTAGGTTAGTGCGTACTGTGATTCAACATACGTGTTTGCGTCAACAAAGGTGGCTTTTACAAAATCAACGTTCGTTGTTCTAGTTCATTTGAAAACTTGATGCACTCAAGTCTGCCAAAAGTACCCCGAAAGAAATCTCGATAACAAACAGAGCAGTACGTTTGAGGATCTGATACTCTGAATGTTTGCCCACTAGTTAGACCACACACTGGGTTTGTAAGTAGTATGGTTTCGGATTAGATTTTCAAGCTAACTTCGATAACACAGGTAGCCGATTACTGTGACTCATCTGTCTTTGGGGTTCTTAGGAGTACTGACATCAATAAACTCGTCATGATAATACCTCAAGTGAAGTAGAGAAAGGTTTTGACCACCCGCAAAAAGTGGCTTTTACTGTGCAGATTTTAAATTACACCGAATCTTGAGGAACGCACTGACAGTCTTAAAACAGACAAGGACATGAAGAAATGCGCTTTTTAATCCTTCTCACAACCGTAGACTCGTAGCAAAATAATGTTAATGAGACATCGTCTCTTGTAGGTAAGCGCAGTTTTATCAGAACAGCAAGTTCATTTGCAAAGCCATACGTATTGGAAACTTCTAGATGAGGGTGAGAAATGCACGCCAAGTTCAGGTCTGAACGTATAAAGTGAGACTACTCAGACTTTGCTGAAGCTGGAATAATGATTTGGGAAGCTCGCCAGGGTTTTTGAGATGCGTGTCTCGGTACCTTGTCATGCATAACACAAGAAATCAGTGTTAATGACAACGAAAAATGAAATGTTACTGAAAATGATGTTCCTGGATGAACAAGGGGCCGGCGACATAAAACCTTCAGACGTTGAGTGTCAGGGAACATCCCAGAAACCTTTTAACCATTAACACCTCTAACGCTAAGCCTGCTGTACGGATAGATGCAAATTTCAGAGATGATGTCAGCCCTATACCCGAACATCACACCACCAACATATTAAAAGTAGAGGATTTTCAGGGCAATCAAATTCAAGGACAATAGAAAACCGGGGAAAAGCGCCATTTCTTATGGTTCGACCTCAGGACAATCCAATGTTATCACACAAACCAAGCAGACCATCACAACTACATGGACTGAGATCACACTGGGAATGGGATTGAACTTCTGCTTACGTTTGGCAGGTGATTGCTTAGCCAGTTATTAGTAAGAGATCTTGCTGGTTGTTTCTTTGGTTTAAGTCTCACCGAACCTCGTTCTACACGGCCTGGCTAGATTTGCATGTTGATTGTGGCACAACTGCATAGGAATAGTTTCTCCTCTATGCCATGTCACTAGAAGACACTCACTCAGAGGTATAGATTCTGAAAGTGATTCTGGTGTTGTTCATACTACGGAATTTAATACCTTTCGGATTGTTGTTGAGCCACTATTTCTTAGCATGTGCAGTTTGTGCTCCAGCAAGGAAATTATCTGTTGAAATTGTAACAGTATTCTTGCTGATAGCCGAAGAACCACGAGAAACTGACCTTCTGGTCAACCCCCAACTGTAATGGGGAGTGAAGAAAGCTTGAATGATCTCTCGTCACCACCATAGTTAGGGTGGGTACTTGACCACCATGAACCATACTGCATCAAATGGAATGGGGAAGTACACGTGTCAGCAATCTGGTCACTACTGACCGTCACAGCGAGTTTTCAGGACTCAAGCTAGCATTAAACAACTATGCTGAGCTGCAGATCCCAAACAACAATCGTCACTTGGTTTCGGACTAAAGTGTAGCGGAAAGCAATCAACCGGAAACACTATGATCTGAGAACATCATAAACGAGAGATTCAGCTGGGTTCCAGGTGAGTCTCTCGAAAGAACCAAATTAGTTTGCAGATGAATGTATATTCGCTAACTTCGTAATTGGTTTAGCTACCGGTCCTTGCCCGACATACGCAATTTTCTCCAAAAACATTAATTGTGGAAAGAAGAGGTTCTTTACATGATCCACAAGGCTATGGACTTGACTTAACAGGAGATCTTTGTTATGCGTGCAGCGGGCTAAAAAGCACCAAGACTCCTTTGCGTTATCAGTGGCCTACTATAAATATAGCCAGCGAGTCAAGGAATCAGACGAAGCTAGTAAGTTGGGCGCGAAGCACCGGTTGCTCGGGTCCGGTTTTGCTTGAGAAGGCACCGAGATCATCTATCAGACATCTCTAACCATCTGGTCTGAGGAGAAGTTGGGCATGTGCAATGCTTTGCTGGAATGTGGAACGGTGTCTTCTGAATTGCAGCAGTTTGTAGCCGACGAATTTTGTAAGGACAGCTACAACTAGCACCTGAAGTGTCGATTGGTTCCCTTGAGTAGGTAGGTAGTTTGGGATCACGGTGACGGATGATACTTCTTCGGTCCTGACCAAATCTCGCCAGTGCGGACTGTTACTGGTGTTACAGTCGGGGGAAACGCACTACTGTCACCTACAATTCTGCAGAACGCAACAGATTGACATTATTATGAAATTAAAAATTCTAGTTGGAAATAACTAGTCAGACTTGCCTCATTCCGAAGCGATATTCGGTGATTTCAAGTACAAATGAGTTAACTAGTAAAAAAACAGTACGGACTAGCAATTTTGCATGGATATGACCAATGACCTCGAGCATACCATTCATTTTTGCCGTGGAAAAAAAAGAGAAGTGGTTCGGGGTCAGTCAAATCCTCAGGATACCTGTTTGTGGTGGGCGAGGTCGGGTGAAAAAAACTGCACTGGATTTAGGATGGTTCAGAAATATCTTAAAAAAGTGAAGGCGTTTTCACGCGGAAACATGAGTAATCCACCATCATCACATGGCATATTACGGATGTACGCGTGTCATTTTCCATGGGAATCACGGCAAACTAAATCTCACACTGTAGCTTTGAGGACAAGCGCCCTTCTACGTTGTACAGAGAGCATGCAGCGCCCTGCTGAGCACATCACGAGTGTACTAACTACGCCCTACGCTATGCAAAAGTGCAGCTTCCAACACTACCTAAGCTATCACGTGCAGTCGGATGGGCTACTAAACTACTTGGAGCGCTAATAGTACGCCGGTCTTTCAGCTACTCATGAGGCGAGTGGCAAGACCCAGATTGTGGACAAGCGATGACCACAGTTACGTTACTGTTGGCAATCATAGCTCCCTAGTGTCATGGAGGTGTTCCGGAGTTTGTGTTGACATATAAATTGCAAAAGCTTGTGCAAACAGGCAGTTCAACGACAGTGGGATCAATGTGTGTGAAATGTATTTCATTTATCGACTGCGTTCGTTTTATTCGGTCGTTTATAGCGCTGCAATTTCGATTCCATTCGCTTGAGGATTTGTAGAAAGACAGGACTCAAAAAATGGGCATTACCTGCCATCCAAAAAAGTCTTGACTTAAGGCGTGACACGCCTAATGGAGCATTTGTTTATGAAATGTCAATGTTAACGTTCCTTATTTCAGTATTTCCATAACAGATCCGTTTGGCTGTTTGTGAGTTGGGTGGTTTCACGATAGAGGGAGTATCTCTTCTGTCCGAAGGAACGTGAAAGTTAAGCCATAAAGTTTCACCTGCCATTTTGCATTTGGAACATTTGCACGGAAAGTAAGGCATGGTAAAACTTACTCGATCTTATAGCGTGCTTAAGTGGTTTGGATTGAAATAAATGATTTCCTGTTTAGTCACGGCATAATATTTTAGGATGAGGTCGCGCTGGTTACCAGGACGAAAATGCGAATGCATTCAAAAGTGATTTGTTCAAAACAGTAAGAATGCGGTGTTTCTAAACGAAGGCCCATGTTTTCGTCTCGGCACCTGATTTTTGAATTGCAGAAGTAACAAATCGAGAAGTATCTCCAGATGACACTAACTTGTATGACGAACTCCCGTTGTGAGGAAGTGAATTTAGAAAAGGCAACGGTCCAGACGATAAATATTCTGGACATTCAAAACCCACTAAATCACCTCATCAGAGGAGTTAACCAATGTTTCCATATCCTCCGGATTGCCCCATGTTGTCCCTTGGACTATAACGGTAGAGAAGTGTCATGCTTATGGCTTCATTTGGCTTCAGATACTTGTCATTTGTTGTCTTCCCATCATATGACTTTCAACCGAAAAATGAAGTTAGGCGACTCGATAACATAGGACACAGTAACCTTCGTTGGAAATGATTGATTTGAGCCCATTTTGGACATGTCTTGGCATTCACCAAGGTCCGTAATTTAAAAGTACACTTTGTCTTATGTGAAAAAAGGAAACAGACGCTTAGTGGGACAGTCACGTGCGGTACACGACACGGGGGCAACGGAGCGCCCACTCACTTCTATTCGTATGCCTGCGCTTAACTGTCCATCTGACAAATCGCGTATATATCCTTTTCGCCAGTTTACCAACCAGTTTTATTGCTGTGGTTCGTGCGAATCACATGCCCGCGACTAGCAACCCCTCGTGCCACTGTGACTCAGCGCTTGCGAAAGTATTTGTGACGCGCAAGTGCGTAGTGGTGCGGCATACGACAGACAAAGAGGATTAGCCTGACAGCAATCACAACGGATGAACGAAATACACTCGTTTCCAAACCAGTTTGGTTTTGCGGGAGACTTACGAGGAACCTAGATGAATGTCTCGATTACAATGTTTTTAAGCGACCTTGTGAGTAGTGTATTACGTCCACAACGGGTGAGGTTTCGGGGACGTACAAACACCACGAATGCGAAAGTGTTGGAATCAGTGAGATGTGGAAGGATTTGGGTGCTACCAACCACTGTATCGCACAAATACATGCATGAGCAGCTCAAGCTGAGGTTGACAGCATGCTGAATTGTATCATTCAATCCAGTCGAAGAAGTCGACGGCATAATGAAGTGACTCGTTCATTAGTGTTTGAGTTTTATCTTCGAAGACATCATTCGGTGGACTGTGAATAGAGAGAACGCTTTGCTGTTGATCTTGTCCTAACTGGAATGACACAAGATGAAAACGAAATATATATTGCCTGATGGTAAATTTGGTAGTTATACTAAAGTCTAGTGGTCAGTTCATACGCGTTAACTGTGCGTTTGACAACCAGTTGATGATGAGGACAATGGTCGATTGAACCGGACGAATTCACCCTAGAGATTGTTACCTATGGCTTGAAAATTATGTGAACAGCGAACCTTTTTTGTCCACGTCCTTTGGAATTCAGAGGAAACCACTATAAGAAGATCTACCTGACAACACGAATGATTATAATATAAACGCTCAAATAACTCTACGATTCCTTCTGGTGGATCTAAGTGACGCGCAGTCCATCAGCCGTATGTGGCACGTGGTCGGTAATACTGGATGTTTTACCCGATTGAAGTATCTGCCGCACAACCAGATACCCGTCTTCTAATCACCTCGTTACCCACACACTGAGGCCATCCAAAACTGGGCGCGCTTTTGGGGCATCGGTGGTCAAGAGCCTGAAGACACCTCACATCATCTGTCCGCAGAGGCCACGACTCACACCCATACAACAACACATGCCTTACTGTAGCCTGGTACACGCGACCCGTCAGATCTAGCGACATTTTTTGACGTCACAAGTGACGCTAATTGGAAAACGTGATTCAAGCCTTTGGGATTCTTGGGCTAACTTCACAGACACATTTCCGCCAGAGCTAATACAATTACCGAGGTATGTAAAGTTTCCTACAATCCCCAGTGACTCTCCTTGAATTGTAAGGGATATGTTCGGAGACCGCACGTTGTGAAGCATGGCTTTGCACTTTGAAGGTGCCGGATGCATGCCAAAAGAAGGTATGATGGTAGTCAGTCAACAGAGTTTGTGCTTCGTTTTGGCCTTCAAAGATAAGGGCGATGTCATCTGCGTACTCTAGATCGATGAGACTCACAAGTAACAATTTGAACACCAGGGTTTTGAAGACCATCCAGTGTTTGCCTCATTATTTCATCAATAACAAAGTTGAACAAGAATGGAGAGAGTGGACATCCTTGTCGGACACAACTTTTTGTAGGGAAGCTTTTGGAGAGCTCACCATACACTCTCAACCACCCAGAAATATGCGAATATAGGGATCGGATTATGTTTACAAATTTCTGGAACATACCCTGTTGAGCAAGCGTAGTTAACAGCACTGATCGATCAACAGAATCAAACGCACCATTAAAGTCAAGGAATTCCAGGATTGCGGGTCGTCTGTACCTGACGGAACGTGAAGATGTGGTCAACGCAGCCTCTACTCGGTCGAAATCCCGCTTGATTCTCACGAGTCAAGGGCTTCGCGTGCCACCGTAAGACTTCGAAGAACCAGTGACGTCAGGCGCCTCATCACAACAGGAGTCATACCAACACCTCTGTGGTTACTACATTCACTGAAAGTGCCATTTTTGAAAATAGGCACTACTATCGATTCAGCTCAGTTATCTGGGACGGTCTATTTCTTCCAGATAGACTTAAACAGGTTAGACAGGCACTGGCTAAGTAGCCCACCGCCATCCTTGAAAAGAGCAGGTGGAAGGTCATCAGGGCCAGCAGCAGGGTGACGCTTGAGTACACAAATACATTCTGACACTTCTTAGACTGAAGAGGGTTCCATATTCACGGTCCACCTTTCTGTTGAAGGCCAGTTTTCTGGATTGGAGGTAGCAAGTGGCCAGCAGAATTGCTGTTCGAAGTGCTGTTCCCAGCGGTCCAAACGTTCTGCTTTGCTGCATAGCAGGGAGCCAATTCGGTCCCTGAGTATTTCGCTGACAATAGGTTTCCGAGGACCAGTCGAACGAATCAAGTGGAACAATTTGCGCACGTTTCCAGCATTCTTCGCATCTTCCATTTCTTCGACCTTTCGGATCCACCAAGCTTCTCGGTCTGCGCGGACGCCAGTTTCACGTGGCGTCGGATGATGCACCGGGTGGAGTTGTGGTGGCGACCAGGTGGAATCTGTCACCGGGTCTCCAGCAAGAACACGGTCCTATCAGAGATCCAATGCTTGGATGAGGTTGGCTGGGTTGTACCGCAAGCAGACGCTCCTGCTTTGAGAAGCGCCTTGGATACTTTTTCCCAATGGCCGTTTATATCCGACACCGTACCGTCCGGCAGGCATTCGAAGAGCTGGTTTTTGATATAGTTTCGTTTGACTTCTGGGTCCACTAACTTCTCAATGGTTAAGTGAGGTGTGCGCGTTTTGCATACACCTGAAAAGCGCAATGAAAAGCAGCAGCGTACAAGTGCATGGTCGGAGTCCACGCTGGTGTTCCAGAAGGAGCGGCAGGCGGTGATCGACCCTCGCCACCGATAACTGACGGCAATGTG